TAAAACAATAAAATGAAACGCAAGTTCAAATAATTTTAAAGCATGAATATATAACCATTAAAAAGTTAGGACATTAAAAACGAAAATGCTACACAAAAGTATCTAAATGTAAATGATAATACAAAATATATACATCAGGTCAGATTCCCACAGATTTCTACGCCATATCCCCACTTTGTCCAAAGATGCTTGAAATAATCGCGGGTATCAACTACGACAATACGATAATGCATCAGTTTCCGGTGAAAACCTAATCTTGCAGACCACTAAGGAATTCTATTGACACTGTTGACATGTACTCTACCGTACAGAATATTCCGCGAAGCACTGTAACTGTTTTACAATACATACTGTGTAAATATTTGTAGCTTATAGAATATTGCCACTGTTTCTTCATGGAATGCTATGCAATAAATATCTTATCTTATCTATCAATAAACAACAGACTGAGTATCATAAACAGCAATCACTTACAGACAGTTTACGGATTAATTGTCCATTATTCTATGACACGAAGGTATCTGTTCCGTAACTTAAATGATCATGTCACGTTAGCTTGTTTAAATCGGATATCTAATCACCATGTTGAACACATGCCCATTGGATCGTATTTCCACTTTAATCGGAAATGTAGGAGCTGGAACGCTGTTATATTTAACTTTCATCGTCACATTTCTATTTTCCCGGGGCCCCGGGGTAACACGATACGGCGTTATCGGGAAGATTCCTGGCAATGTGAGGCTGTGGCCGTTGGTTCCATTCACTGCAGAACAACATACGTAAGCCCCATCATCATGATCCTTGTCCTTGACGAAGTGTGAAAGAGTATTCACACAGCACGCAATGTTACCTACAGTATAGAAAAACATTGCCAACAGTGTAGGTGGCGCTAAGTCGGTCGTGGTGCCTGGGGCGTCGATGTGTTTGTGTACCGTTATGTTCAGTCCATTGACTTTTACTGCGTGTAACGTAAAGGGTGTGTTAATGACGATGTACACATTCATCCATTGACTTTTACTGCGTGTAACGTAAAGGGTGTGTTAATGACGATGTACACATTCATCCATCTGGACACGGGCACAACAAAAGAATATACATAGAACACAAAACATCTTTAATTAAAGTTATTTCGGACATGTTTATGCACGAAAGTCTAAACGTGCTATTGTAGATGAATTTTTTTGGTAAAGGGTGTAAAATGCAATATAAGACTATAATCTGAATTACATTTGGAACAATATATAGTTGCTGATACAACTGCAGGCATGTTATACGTCAGATCTGTCAATGCCGACATGGAAGCCGCCCCTAGGGGCATAATTTGAGCAATGCTGAGGAATATCGCACGAGTTCGTATAAATGCTGAAACATTTTCTTTATTTAAGAAACATTTGATCTTGGATTATTTTATGGACGTGTAATACAATTAATAAATTTGCAAAGCTACCAAGAAGGATTACACACACAGCCAGACTGAGATGTACAAGTGCCTAGTTTGTCTCACAGTCTCTGAACTACATTATTTTCTCTTCTGCGCAGTACTTTCTCCAACGCTAAGGCCCTATAAACGTATCAAGTCTATATTTCCTTCAGGTTCTGAATCTCCCATGACACTGGATCTCTATTTCAATTTCAATGGAATTATTTGTTTCTATCAAAATTCTATATATTCAGAGACTGGGCGTCAGTCTATAGTAGTGCTAAGTGATGCTGGAGACACGAGTAACTGATCACACATGTGATGTATATGCAGCGAGACAAACAACCAGTCTAAGGTCAAGGGTGAAGTCCAATAACCTATGTTTGCCAGATGTCATCTTCTCACAGTCGACCTCACATCGGTTTCCACTTTACTCACCATATACGGCAGATACTACCCGGATTCCCGGCCTTTGTTGTGGGAGGATATGGTGAGCAAATATCTCGACGACGGCGACCTTTTGTTTTCGAAGTGAAGATTTGGCGAGGGGTGTTACAATTGGAGAATGGTCTCTTCAGAGGGGTCAAATGGTCAGGCACCAAGGCCTGCGCCACGGTCAATACGGCCTGCGTGGGTGTTTACTCCGATATTCAAGGTCGTTCAGATAACAGACGCTGAAACTGATATAGGTTCATGTGTCGGTGTTCCAGGGGCTGGAGCAAGATGTATCCTATAGACTTGGATGATGGACATACATCCATGTTATAAACACACACTGCTATACAGAACTATCGGAATGATTCAATAATTCACATGATTCAGTAAAATATATTCAGGATAAGTGTCTGCTTTGTGAAATTCCAGAATCGGTTCTCGTCGAAGGTGTCCGTCCGACATTTCGTCTTTTCAAACGCCGGACGCCGTTTTTTAAAGGCACGTTTTATTTGTCGTCATGGCTCTGTGATAACTTCTTCAAGTGGAATTTAGAAGCTGGTATGATGAAGAGGATCACCTTTTATATATAGCAAACGTCTTTATTGTACTAGATGCGACGTTTCTGTGTAGATGCTAACACCGTTATCAAGCAAGTGATATGAAAAGATTGAACTGAATTGGTAACGGTGATAGCGTCTACGCCGAAACTTCGCATCTATTGCAATGTAGAAGTTGTCTACATGTATATATAAAACGTGTTCCTCTTCCTGGCCCTGCCATGTCTCGCTACATATTAGTGATGGGACAGCTGTAAAGCAATGATTATTAGTTTCAACCACAAAATAATAAAAGTATGTAAAAGACCGGGGTCCATAATGCCAATGGACTTATCTAGACCTGCCTCATATCCGGATAGAATTGCTGCAGGGACTGACACAGGATTGATTCTCTGAAAGGTTCATGCATAGTAAAGCAAGGACTTATTATTCAGTAGAGACTTGGAGCAAGACTAAGGTGACCGGGACTTAATATGATATGACCTATGCAAGATAAGATTGAAATTATCACAAGTGAAGATCAATATGTCATGTCTATAGATATAGCCGGAGGAATTGGAAAAAAATTAGTTTAGAATTAGGTTACAGACCAGATCAGATATCTTTATCGCTAAAACTAATAGTTAAGGTGATACACTACACTTATATGTTGTACTCATAGTTTAAATATACATACACGTAACGCCTTTCATTGGCATTTAGCGGTTGGTGAGATGAATAACGGGGATGGTTCAATCATTACCGTTATCAAGCAAGTGATGTACAGCACAGTGGGTAAAGCGTTAATATGAGTGAGTGAGTTAAGTTTTACGCCGCACTCGGCAATATTCCAGCTATATGGCGGTGGTATGTAAATCATCGAGTCTGGACCAGACAATCTAGTGATCATGACGGCATGAGCATCGATCTACCCAACTGGGATACGATGACATGTGTCAACCTAGTCAGCATGCCTGACCACCCGATCCCGTTAATAGCCTCTTACGACATGCATGGGTTACTGAATATTGAACAAACTTTATGGATAACAACTTCTTTTATTTCGTGAGTGCAACAGTTTGATACAGATTCTTGTACCGTTGTCACTGAAGAACAATTCTAACCCGGATCTTCACGGGGCATTATGCATGAGTTACGTTATGCTGGTACAGTAAAGTACAGGCTGATAATGCTTATTGAATTTGCACTATAGATAAAGTTGGTGTACAAAGTGTGATGGATGTTTACACAATAAGGAGTAAAACACAATACAGATTTACCAAGAGAGAGATTAACGAAACGCCAGCCATGGGATGGACAATGGGAGTAATCAGAAGTGGGATTAAGCTTAGTGATGATGTTTCTGGTGTCCCCCGCCGTGATATTGAATTGAATTGATATTGCTAACAGCGGCGTAAACCCATACTCACTTACTAGTGAGGATAATTGTTGGCTGTATAGGCATGAAATAAACTGGTCTCTGCTGATGGCAGTCTCGATTTATGAAAAGGTATTACATATATTATCTGTCAACTAAGATATATGTAGTTTTCATAGCTTAACGGTGTTAGCACTTACACTGAAACATCGCCTCTATTGCAGTAAAGACGTTGTCAATCCTTAAAACATGTTCTTGTTCGTCATACTAGTGTCTAAGTGCCACTCAAATAATATTTACATTGATTGACAGATAATTAGATATTGTTATGACAAGTAATGGCATGGAATTATTCCAGCCAGACACTGTCATTAATGTTTTGAGCTTGAAAGAAAGATATCCATGTATAAATACAACGATCAATGTCTGATAGTGTAAAAGACTTTGGGCAGGCAGACAGTTACTGCGTCAAGTTAAATTAGCTCGTTTTATATCTTATTGAGTAAATCCATAGGGATAAGTGAAATAAGTTCGTTTGAATATAATTCCTGAATGCAAAGAGTGCCAAATGGTGATTTTGTTTGTTTTCAGTGAGCTTAAGTTCCTTTCAATATACTTCGTGCATGTGAAGAGTGCAAATGGTGATTTTATGAGGCCAAATAATATACCATATGTCATTCATATTCATATTCACAAGCAATCGAGCGATTGGCTTTGTTTGACAACTTAAGAAACGATGAGGTAATGTTGACCTCATTTGCATATTCATTAGATGTAAAACTTCCCCGTGTCAACCAAAGAGTTGACGTCAGTCTGTGACCACCTAAAACTGTTTCAGCCGGGAATTTGTCTTATCATATGACATGACACAGACCACTAATGCATTGTGCAACTGTTATATTTGGTTGATTTTCTTCTGTCATCACAGTGAGATCTATTTTGATGCAAGTAGGTTATACTGACCTCCCAACAACTAACAACAACTGCCAACGTCATGGAGAAAGAAAGTTTAACTATATTTTGCCTAACAGGGTGAAATTATTTGTCTCATTAAGACAATATCAACGTTTGATGTAACACATAAATAAAATGGCATTTTACTTTAATTCATTCGTAATCTCTTACTGTTGAGGATATGAATTATCTAAATCATAAGCATGAATGAATAGTTGTAATACAAGTACATTTTCACTCAGTCACTGGGAAAGGTGTGCGATCTTTCGACCAATCAAAACGTTTATGCTGCTCAATAACACTAGTTCGTAAACAGCTAACAGCGGTGGTGTGGAGTTTGTTGAAAGTGATTAGAGCGAAAGAAAGGGATTGTCAGCTCTTGATTTCTGTATTTCGCAGAAGTTCAGTCTCAAGAGGAACTGCTTAAAGATCAAAGGGTTTCTTTAAGTGTTGCTTAGAAGAAGAATGGCTGCCGTTAGTGTTCCTATGCATAATGGAAATATTCAACATGGCGAGTCTGGGGCTGATGTCATCGAAAACGGCAACGAGCTTCTGAATGGAAGCGAAGTGAGTGAAGTTCCAGCGCGAATAATAAGGAAAGCCAAGAGGCTAATAAGGAGAAGCCCAGCGAAGGAAATAGGTGCAAAAGAAATAGTGACTGTTATTTCAGGAATGCTAATAAGCGTCTGCCTTTATCAAAGAACAGTCGGAAATCGAGAAATGGCCGAGGTCGAGGCGAACCAAAGAAAGGTCAGAAATGTTTGCAAATCACTGTTTTGTTTCTTAACTTCGTAACGGATTGTGCTAGGGGTGATATAATTCACTTTGTTTGTCGAAAGGTATATATGGTACGTACAACTATTGTGCGTTTCTCCAAATTGTCATTTGACAGAAGTTGTTTGTTTGTTTCGCACCCACGTGTTTTGAAAGTCAGCCATCTTGTGTGTTTGTAAACAGTGATAGTTTTCCGGTCCATTGTTTCAAATTCTAGGGTTGGACCAGTTTGTTCGATGCACGGATAGTGAACGAATGCATTTGTGCTTTTTGCATGCTCTCTTTCCCTTTGCAGTTGTGATGTCCATCCGCTTACCACATGATCTATTTTGGGAGCGTCCGATTCGTGGTTCTATTTATAGATCAAATGATGTCACGTGATCTTTCGATGGTTGACACCATGCGTTACACATGCATCCCCAAATAAAACAGCGGTTATACTTGTGGCAAAGTTGTGCACTGTCGACATTTCCACCTTTCAGGTTAATCATGGCGGGAATCACAGTACATGCACAATCAAACTGATCTTATTTGCAGAGCTCTCCAAAGGAGTGACTTAGTGGGATCTGGTATGTTCTTACAACAGGACTTAAACAGGTCTTGCTTGCCACTTGCGGATGTTCTAAACATTTTAATGTGACAGTCACTTAAGGTTGATGGGATTGGAATTGGGAAAGTAACAATAACAAATGTCTAGGCTAGTGTGGTTCTTTTGTGCAGTCACAGATCCTCAAATGCATGCATTCTAAAATCTACTCTTTCCATTTCCTCCCAATGTTTGGTATGCAGTAGATGGCATTTTGGATGTCCTTCAGTATATCTGTATATTGACAGTGACAGAGTGCTTGCACTAAAGTACTGTCAGAAATAGAAAAAAACTGTGCATTTTCTCATTTACCTCTACAAATTATGTAGTTGATATGTGCAAGAGTGAAATATCGGTTAAACTAAGTTCGGCCTAACTACAGTCTCAGTGGTAGGGACATAGGAAACGTAGAAAAAGGACTTTACTGAGGAGAGATTAGTGCAGAAATGAGAAATGCGACTTATTTGGAACAGACCATGGCTTTATGCAAATTAGTGTGCGACGATATTGTATTACAAAGGACACTTTTAAATGCCCAATTTGAAATTAGACGTAGCTTCATTATAAACTATAGCTGGCGTAAAAAAATAAAACTTTCATGCTCAAACTATTAAGGATGTAGCTACCATGGAGTCTCACTGTCACTATAAAAAGAAACCGATAGGAGGGTTCGTCTCAAAAGCAAAACCTAGACAGGTGTTGCAGACGATCGTTGGGGTAGGGCTGGATGATAAAGATATCAGCTAAGATAAGATAATCCTTTAAGGCAATTATACTGGGGAAGTACACAGCATGTCATAACAATTTAGTAATAATATCCAGTCGTGTCGATCTTCATGATTAGGTGGTCATGCCACCTACATATTTTGAGAAATTTAATATGATGCGTTTCTATGGTTATCAGGTATCATACTCTGTTACATATCTCAACATAAACTTTATGAAAGAAAGACACGTAAGATGTTAATCAATAGATAAGGCATAGTCAACACACATGAAAAAGCACAAAATATCTTTGAGATGCCCCCTTGTGCCTGTAGGCAGCATGTGCATTTCATGCCAGGTGAGTGAACTGTCCGTCGTCATACCTGGCTGAGCGACCTAATTTGCCATCTTTTGTCTGATCTATTGTTTTCAGCATCTATTCATATTTTTTCTAAGTTTTGCCCGATTTTATGAGTAAACTGAAACATGTTTTTCTGGATATCCTATTACGTATCCCACTGAATGCCAAGTTAGGCCGAAGTGGGTTATTTCGACATATGCTATTTGCAGTTGTGTAAATTTTATGGATACAGAGTAACAGCCTAAAAACATTTTTTTCTATTTCCAACATTACTTTAGAAATTATGTCCAGTCAAACTGAGATTGATTCAGTCATTGAAAACAGTGTGAGAAATAAAGAATAACATTTTACCAAGTCCAATTTACATTAGTAATACATTGGTTAAACCACTTATATTTTGTTTGCATAATAGGACCAGTGTCAATTCTTGCTGGGATCTGCCATTCCATTTTATTTGAATTTGGGGACTTCCTAACCAATTGGACATTGATAGGAGTTAAGACCAGGACCTCTGCTTGTTCCAATTCTCATGTAAATCACCATGATCAAGGGAGGTCCTTTTTGGATCTCTGACATGATATTCATTCTGCAACCAACTTGATTCTCTCAAACATTAGGTGGCGGTGGGGTAGCCTAGTGGTTAAAGCGTTGGCTCGTCACGCCGAAGACGCGGGATTCGATTCCCCACATTGGTACAATGTGTGAAACCCATTTCTGGTGTTCCCCGCCGTGATATTACTGGAATATTGCTAAAAACGGCGTTAAACCATACTCACTCACTCACTCAAACATTAGGAATATGATACACATTATGTCAAATGCTTAGTTTGATTTTTTTAAATGCTGGTTACCGGATGTCATCATTCTTCTTCTGACATAAGCTGTTTACAAATAAATGAAGTTGTTCTGCCATGTTGTGTTTCAGGAGGTGCTGGAGGAAAGGGTGTGTGGGGAACCCCAGGCTCAGAATTGTTTGAGGACGGTAGGATTCACGACTCCCATGATCCCAATTACGATTCGGGATAGCCAGGTGAGAGAAGTCTCCCCCTATCCCAGATATTTGTACTTCTCTTTTTTGACAGCACATGGATTTGCCTAAGTCCAAACAAGGGGTGTCCAGCTAGTAGATTGGGAAAGAGTCATTTTCTTTAAAGAATATTGATCTTCAGTAGCCCATGCTTGTTGTAAGAGGTGACTTACGGCATCAGGTTGTCAGGCTCACTGACTTGGTTGACACGTGTCATCGGTTACCAATTGCGCAGATTGATGCTCATGCTATGATCACGGGATTGTCTGGTCCAGACTCGAATTATTTACAGACTGCCGCTATATGGCTGGAATATTGCGGAGTGCGGCGTAAAGCTAAACTCGCTCACTCACTCACTTTAAAGAATATTTTAGCTTACATTTTTTATATAAATTAGGAAATGTGTAACATGTCAGTCAACATTTTCAGTGAAGTTGTTAAAAACAAACAATTTAATCCTTTGTCCTCTTTTTTTTTTCCCTTGCTGATTACAAATCACCTTGTCCAAGCCATCATAAAACATTATAACTGTTGCCACATAAATTATGAATAGGGAAAGTTTCAGTTCATATATGGGTATTTTTTCAGACACTGGCTGCAGATTGGGAAATGCATGTCAATAAATAGGTCTAGAGAAATGATTTATCACCATGATTATTGTGGTAATAATACTAATAGTCCTGTAGTATGATTCTGTGCTACAAAAATTGTTGCCAGTAGTTTATAGTAGTGGCATGTGTGGAATCTGTGCCAACTATGCTTATGGTTAAGCTATTACTAGACTCAGTCACTCAGGCCATTTACGTATGTATGTGCAGGGAATTGTCTAGATGCTAAAAGGCTGATCTTCGACCCAAGTCTGCAGCAAATGTTGGTCAGCATCACAAAATCTGAATATGAATTTCCTAATTCATTATGATAAGGTTGTAACTGTTGTTATGGCTTTAATGAGGTGAATGTTGTTTCACCGTTAGCAGATATAGATAAGGCTAAATCAAGTTAATTGTGTTAATGCTTACTTTTAAGTTATATAGATTGCACTGTCACAAATCCTATGAATAAAATCTGAACATAAAAAATCCCAGTTATGAAGAAAATATTATTAATTTTCCTACTTTACCAGATAAGAGCATTTAGTTTGGAACCTTGGAAAAATCTCTGTGTTTGTTTAACGTGATAAGAGTGAGTTGTCTTGATAAGCTTATCAGCAGATCAGAAGTTGAGTTGTACACTAGTCATGCTGAAACAACAAGCTTTGAAGGAGCTGTGTCTCATGGTGACACAACACCTTAATCACTCATTGCACATAAAACTGTCAAGTTTGTAGAAATTGTTTTGGAATGTGCATTTGAACATCAGTCTATGTAAACTTAAGCTCAGTATTATTCGTTACACCGCTATACTGAGTCTAAGAAAACCTAGTAGAAGGTTGCGGTAGCTAACCTATTGAATTGACCAATCAGAACACAGCTGACCAAATCATGAAAGTTAACATTCACACACCTTGTTTGAACTTTTACCTCGAAAATGTTTGTATTTGAACGATTCCGAATGCTATTTTTCTGCGAAAAATGATAAAAAGTGGTACACATGGAGGACGCCATTATTCACAACAGTGAGTAACCTATCGCTGAAAATAAGTGTTTTTGTCAAGATGTCATCTTGTGGAAATATATGCTAATAGTAATCATGTCATCAGAAACCCCTAAGCGTATATACTGCAGGTCAAATATCTGTATTTTATGTCAATTTCATCTTGCGTCGCCATTTTGTAAGTTTATAAGTCCCACTGAACCCAAAAGTAGCTGTTGTCTGATTGGTTAAATCAGTTTGGCCATCTCATGTTAGGTTGGACCCTTTAGTTCGACAGTCATAGGTCACTCAAACATGTCAAAGGTTAGCTGACGCGACCTTCTACTAGGGTTTTTTAGACTCAGTATAGCTAACGAATAGTACTGAGCCTAAGTTTACTTAGACTGATTTGTACCTCACATGCAGAGTATATCAGCCTTAGCGAAAATGAAAGTTCTGATCTTTGGCTGGGTTAGGTGAGAAAATTATTTGAGTTCCTGGAAATATTTTTACAACAAGACTTCCAAAATAGAACACCAAGATTAACCCTGAAATCTGTACATACACGTCTGAATGGTGACATCAGTAGATAACAAGATAGAGGATTATAAGTAAATTACATTGAAAAACCTTTGTTTACAATGAAAAAAGAGGCAATACATTAGATCAAGTAAGTGGCAGCAGCGATAAAATAAGAGGCCTTGAGAAGTGATGTGAGTGCATTTATGAATATTCATGATCTGGGTTCTGGAGTCGAGATTAGTGTTGGAAGCTGGCAGATTTTGGTTTGACAGATGACAGAACTATTTACAAGGTTCATGACATTGCTATTACATTGATGCAATCATCCAACATTATCCTGATATGGAAAATAATTAGAATAACATTAAAAGATGAGATCTATTAATTTAAAGTTTGTACATACAATGGTCTACCTTAGTAGCACCATAAACTGTACAGGTATGTAACAACACCCAATGGATGTGATGCTATAATTGGTAAAAGTTTGTCACAAGATACACTGGCAAACAAAGACCCTGTGACGTCAAGCTTGGTTCATTGAGTGTGCATAAGCTATTTTCAGCAATCAATCATCTCTTCACAAAACTCTCGAAATAATCCTAGCAATGAATGTTTTCAACATTTTTTGGCGAAATCACTTCCAGTAGTATATAAGCATTCACTTTGGTATAAAACTGGTATACTGCTGTATGTTTGTTGAATTTGTGATCTCTTCACATGTTATTAATAGACAAACGTCTGCTTTTCGGACTTGAAAAATAGATGAGTTATGTCAGGAGCAAAAAGGTCTCAAAGCACCTTTTGTCTCATAAATATATGTACAACATTTTAGAAGCAGTTGGGTAGCCTAGTGGTTAAAGCGTTTGTCATGCCCTGGGTTTGATTTCCCATATATGGGTACAGTGTGTGAAGCCCATTTCTGGTGTCACCTGCCATGATAATTCTAAAATTGGTGCAAGACTACTCATTCTAGAAACAGTCCCATTCCCAAACTGGCCCTGACTCAGTTTTGTACATTTTGAACATCCATGAGGTTGCCAGAATATTGTCTGCTGCATAATACTATTACCATGACAGTACATTTGTAAGTATGTGTCCTTTGGACCAGTCAGCATGTATAAGCTGGGCCTTTTGATTAATTTACAAAGAATTGTGGTACTGGCAAACAAGGATAAGTTGAGCACTGACCTGACAATTGACCCGTATTAGCATGTATGAGTGCCGCCCACTGGTGCTTGCCATTGTTAGCGAAGGGGCCCCAGGTTGTCCGCGATCAAGTGTAGTGCGACTTGCTACACCGACGTGAGAGTCTTATGAGCAAGGTGTGTGCAGCTATGTGGGGAATCAATTTCATTGTCATGCAATGCATGTGCACTAGCCTACATCTGCTCTACCTTTCACAAACCAAATGGGTTTGCTCATTGCCGTGCACCGCCTACTTCTCGTAAACGCGTTCTCTGCGCCGGTCCAACTTATCCTTGTTTGCCAGTAAGTAACTAGTGATGAAGTTTGTTACGAACCTTTCTTCAATTGGTCTGTTTGAAAAAGTTGATTTGATGTATGTATTCATCCCATGAATATGGTCTGTTTCAGGGAGATTTTATTGTGGAAAAGATAGACCCTGAGTTGACCCAGAGGGAGTTTGAGGCTGTGCTAGAACCTGTGTTACTTGAATACTTCGAACATGGAGACACGAGGGAGGTTGAGGTGAGGAGGCCATCACATTGACTACTTCCAGTTTGCATATTGTTTTGCCCCAAACATGTTTTGGTTGTAATGTAAGGATATTTTGGATTTTGTTTTCATTTCATGCTCTTTGAAAAAGTGTTATTTGGATGAAATTGTTGAACTATTAATAGTAAATGATTTCGTACATTTGGTTTGTTGACAGTTAAAGGGTTACTTTCCTTTCTCTATTGACCATTGCATATGTGAGACATTCATTACAAGCATGCTATAGACTAGTATAGGGAATATAGAGTTGGTGTTGTGAACTCCAGTATCCTACATGTAAGAGAACATAATGGATTAGTTTGTCATTTATCATGTTTATAAATAATCTTTCACCAACCTTTCTATCCATTTTCGGGAAGTAAACAACACAGTGGTAGTGTTAAGTGTCTAAAGACACTGTTGTGTATTTTCTGAAACAGTGTATGCTGAAGGCATAGAATCTGCCGATGGGATAGTGAAAGGTGAAAATCTCCCATTCACGAGATTGATAGGCAGCAAACCAAATAGCAAGTGAAAGGGTGAGCCAGTTGCAGCCGTGCTGTCTTACGACTCTCCATTCATCTAAAAAATGATCGCTTTTCCCTGAGAAGTAGCCGGTATAGTTTGAGGTTTCTTTTTGCCTGAAATAGGAAATTTATGACTAATGGAGGTGCTTTCACTAGTTTTAGAGTATCAAATACAATGAAATATTTCTGAACAAGCACCCTGACTTGCCATGCTAAGTGTAGGATCACTAAGTATTCTTGGGCCTGCTTTCAAAATGACTCACTTTTTCTAATTCCAATCATACTCAAAAGGGTCATTCACTTTTGTTGTCTTCAATGAACCCTTAAAACTTGTACCTTAGAACCTGGTGATTGGCAGATCTGTTTCTCCAAGAAAACAAGCTGTAATTCATGTTGAATAGTGTTCAACTGAGGCAACGTGATGAACAGCTTCAGCATGGATGATTCTTAATGCTAGATTACAATAATTTGCCATCTCTGCAGCTCTTTTCAGACAGAAGAAACCAAGTGTATAATTACAATTCGCATTGTTATTTCATTATTCTTGTATTTCAGGAGGATCTGTCTGATTTGAATGTTAGGAAGTATAAACCAAAGATCATAGAGACTGCTGTTAGCATGGCTCTGGATCGTAAAGCTCAACATAGGGAAATGACGTCACAACTCATATCGGATTTGTACAGTAAACTCTTGACGTCAACAGATATTTCAGGTGGTTTTGACAGTGTTCTCTCCAGGCTCTCTGACCTGACAATAGATTCTCCAGAAGCTCCAGTGGTGAGTGTAGCTTGTTCAGTAATTGTACTTGTTGCTTTGTTGGGAGTAAATAAATGCAACTCAAATTCCATATACCAGTAGAATAAATGATGGGTACCTCATGCTTGGCATATGCAACTTTTGTTGTCTGGCGTGTGTCTTTATTGAAGTCATCATAGTGCTCATGCCTTCTGCCAGTGGTTTGTCGTATTTCATTTTCTGACATTTGTGGTCCAGTGGGGTAGCATCTACCTGAAGCCCAAGGTTTGATTCCCCGTAGGAGTATAATGTGTGCAGTCCATCTCTGGTGTCCTGTGTTGGTAATGGACATTTGCAAAAAGCAGTGTAAAAACTCACTACTGACAGTTGTGATGCAGTCTATTGTAGTATTCAGCACTATTCACTCTATCCCTTCACACAATGTGTTAGTTATCCAGTATATTTCTCCCTGAATAATGATTTTTATCATGTTTAAGAGAATAATTTGATTCTTGAATATTTGACTTAAGAGAAAGTATATCAGATAAAAATCACAATTAATACTTGTGCAATTGTTGTCATAATCCAAAATTTTGGATTCCTTTTGCAGGTTGTTGGCCAGTTCATTGCAAGAGCTGTAGCCGATGACTGTCTCCCGCCAAAATACATTACTGGATACAAGGGCAAGGTTGAATGTCCTCACACACGGTATGTTTGTGTTAGTGGTTTTGTTCTGCAGGTGATTTGTTGTTAAACAGGTCCCAAGGACCTGATGCTTGCTCTAAAAGCTGACAGAAAATGGCGAATGAGTTGAAGCCTTTTGGTTTGGCTGACAATGTATCATCAAAACCGATGGCATGGTTCATTGCTTATGCTCACAGTCACAAATTTACCGGTCCCAGATGTGATTTTCCCTTGAAAATTGCAGACTTGAGTTGAAGCAGCATTCGCTCATGACGAGTCAGGTTAAGTCATGATGATTTAGTAGTGGTATCATTTGAAAGATTCCGAATCCTATCTTTGCCTGTTTTGTTTGCTGAATTGATTTTATATATTTCTCTGATATAACTGAATTTAAATTAAATTTTCAGGAGTGCTCTTAACAAAGCTGACTTGTTATTGAGCAAGAAACATGGCATTGTCCGTCTTGACAACATCTGGGGAACAGGTGGTGGTCGTCCCGTTAAATACCTCGTTAAGCAGGTAAATATTGCTGCCTATTGAGACTGGATGTACCAGCATTAGATTACCACAGAATTGTATTGAGCGAAGTGGGAAGGAAATGTTTGCCAACCATAGATTAAGCTATTTCTTTTATCTAGTTAAAACTGGTAAGGAGAAATTTCATATTTAGCTTCAGATAACTACCTAACCAAAACAAGGTGTTACTGCTAGTGGTAATAATCACAAATAACTGCATTTAATAACTGAAAGTATTGTCACATGGTCAAACATTGTTTCTTAGACTGAACTACGTTTTGGGAAAGGCTCTCTGCATATGTCTGTAAATAACAATATTTAAGAGGAATACTATACTGTCACCTTGTTTAGCTTATGTTAAATCCAGAAGGTTGAATGCAGAAAAATGTCTCCAGAGGTATTTGTTAGCCATGACTAGCTGTCCCATACAAAGTCAGATCAGGATCATGGGGATATCAGTGATCTTTGCTGGAAAAGAGAACTTAATATATTAGGTGGTCAGACTCAATACCATGACAGCATGGAGCCTTGTTCACAACATCAGTCTCTCGTTTGTCTGGTCCAGACTTGACTGTTTGTCTGGTCCCGACTTGACTGTTTGTCTGGTCCAGACTTGACTGTTTGTCTGGTCCAGACTTGACTGTTTGTCTGGTCCCAACTTGACTATATGTCTGGTCCAGACTTGACTGAATGTCTGGTCCAGACTTGACTGTATGTCTGGAAGTGGTGCTACACCTCAATGTCTGACCTGTTCTCAGACGCCATGATTTGACTTCAGATGGTGATGCTGCTGAAGGAGTACCTAGCTTCAGGAGACATGGACGAAGCAACAAGATGTCTGCGTGAGCTCGACGTTCCACACTTCCATCACGAGCTTGTCTATGAGGTAAGCAAAACTGGAACTGTGTAATAAGAACCTGTAATCAATGCACAGAAGACAAGTGTATCCTAATGTTTGTCATAAGTTGAAACTATGATTTCCTGTAATTAAAAGATGAAAACCAGATATTTTTTTTTCTGAAACATTGGTTTGAAATCAAACTAATTACAGAAGACAGGAGCTTTACTTGAAGATATATTTGTGTTTCAGGCCACATTGATAGTTCTGGAGGACTCAACTGACAGAACAAGAGACATGATGTGTGAACTGCTTAAATCTTTCTCAGAGGCCATGATTGTCACCCCCAACCAGTTTATTCAGGTATATATTTTTTAAAGCCAGCTTCTTCTGCTTCTTGAGCTGCCAGTTCAAAGAACTGTGTCTGGTTCCACTTATCACATCTTTCAATCCCTGATTATCAAGATACCATTGACCCATGAAGATCCGGGTTAGAAGTGGTCTACAGCAACATTTGCTTCTTGTAAGAGGCGACTAATGGGATCGGGTGGATGGCTCTGCTGACACATGTCATTGTATCCCAGTTTTTTAATCGAGGCTCATGCAGTTGATCACTTGATTGACTGGTCCAGACTTGATTATATACAGACCACCGTATGACTGGAATATTGCAGAGTGCAGCATTGAACAACAAACAGAACATCATCCTTTGTTTATTAAGCCGACACCCTGTTTGGCTGGTTTCATGCCTCAGACTTGCTTTAAAAGCTATGCATCTTTGGCAACTTCCGCTGCTGTTGTTGCAAAATTCTTTCTGTGATGTTGCTTGTAATTCTGTTTGTGTGATATCCATGAGTACTTCTGCTTCCAGGGCTTCCGCCGAGTATATGATGCAATGCCAGATATCTGCCTTGACGTTCCCAATGCATATGTCCTCTTGGAGAAGCTGGCCAACAAGTGCCACCAGGAGGGTATGCTGTCTACGCTGCTGCTGAAGGAGCTGCCACAGAGGTACGTCCAAGGGGAGCTTGCAGATGGAAGGAATGCTTATATGTTGCTCAAGTCTATCGAATGGTGGTATTGTAACACATATAAAATTTTGGTTCTTCTTTGACTTGTTTTGAGTGATATGATTTGTGTTATCATTGAAATCACCCGTTACTTGAGTGAAAGGATCACTGGCTTCATGATGCCTATTTCTTTTCAGAGGCCGCAAACGATTTGTGTCCGAGGGAGATGGTGGACGAGTGAAAGAAATCACTCCTTGAACATGTCACCTGACAGACATTGATCAACATTGGTGAAGGTCATTCCGGATGTTTTGCATCTCTCTTGACTAACATTGCCCAGGGCATTAATGTGCTCATCCATTTCCATGGAAACCATGTCATATCCAGTTCAGCCACGTCTGCATAATTGACATTTCCAAAAGTTTTGAAATTGACATTGAAAATGTTTTCACCATGCTGACCCAGATTGATCATTTTTGTTATCCATCGACTTTGTTGATGTTATTATTTCTTTTTTTTTACTAATTTACACAAACATTTGGATATGATATATGTTGTACGAGTGATGTTGGCTTACTGAGTTTCTCCTTGTTACACTCGTTCGTCTGATTGTATAAACATGTTTTCACCCATAAGTACATTAGAATTGGTGCATTGTTTCCACATTTAGTATGTCAATACTTGTATGGTTGCTCGATAATCGTGAGGGCTGATCTAACTTAGAGGTCTCAACAAATTGGATTAAATAATTTGTTACTGCAGGAGTTGTTTTGTTTTCAATACAAGAAACACTGGTCAGACCATTATTTCAGTTCCATCATCTATTTGGAATGCCTGGATTTGCGACAGGACATGTTCCAGGTTTACTTCTTAAATGATTCCGCTGATACTAGGTGTACATATCGATTACTACACAGGTGCCTATTAGATACGGTTTTATAGTAAGATATTGAAATACATAAGCTACTTTACCTGACAAACTGACTGATATAAGGAACTGTGTTTTGTATCTGGCCACTTGAGTTTGTTATAACCGTAGTTGACCATATGCGGGTTGAGATTAACACAGTATGGGACAGGAACGAATGTAGTCAATCATTTATAACTCTCAAACTCACAACATTATCAGAAGTCAGCTTGAGTATTAACATTGGTATACCGACAGTGTATGAATACCACATTTGTTGGGGGTCATGATTTGGCCGTAGACTTCCTGAAGGTGCAAACTGTCAATAAGATGCATTGTTTTGGCAAAGATTGTATATGTGAATAGACGATTTTAAAATCCTGTTCATGAGAGCATGTACACACTACTTTAGTGAATCTGCGCTCAACAGTAATGTAACCAGTTACTTCAGGTGGTAAAGGGAGCACACATAATTCATGAATGTTATTTCGATGTGGCTGTGACATAGCTGGAATATTGCTGAGTCCGGCGTCAGTCTAAGCTCACTCACTCTGTCGATGTGTTTAGTCGAGATGCTTTGAATAGTAATAATCCCATAATTCGCCTGGCTGTCAATTTGTACAACATTACTAAGAGACATCACAAATGGAGATGTAGTAATATTTATTTACAAATGTAGTAAAGTATCAATATATTTGGCATTGGTGATAAAGGGAGACAATCCACACACGCGATAGATGTATCGCCGAGCACATGCAAACATACAGCAATTTTTCCTACTCTGAACAGTTTTGTTCATTGATTCTATTATATTATAGTTTGATCCCACTGAATTTTGGTGACTTCAGTGCAATATTCAGCATACACAACAGTGAGAAACAATCACGCTGACCTGTCAATTGCACACATGCCATCAATGTACATGCAACTGGATAGGATATTGTCAGTAGAGTAGCTGACAGCAGCTCAAACAGGCGCAAATTCAGGTTGAGGTTCTAGGAATGTATTCCAGATCACCAGTCTTCCCCAAAGTCCTCTGAATGGTCTTCTGTCATGAGACGCTGATGCCTATGTTTTGTGCGTCGGGAAACATTGGACGCAAGATTCTTTACGTTGGCCATGCACAGAGCCTGGTGATCAGACACAGAGGAGGGAGTGTCGGAGGCCTGCTTGACTGGAAAGTTAAAACAGCAAATGATTCATCCTGCTACTAGAAACAATGGTGATCAGATGTGGAGGGACTGCTGTAAGGTTCTAACTTAATGAAATGTCTAGAGAATCTTCATACAATACAGTGAGTTTAGTTTTACACCACACTCAGCAATATTCCAGCTATATGGTGGTGGTCTGTAAACAAAGCCTGGACCAGTGATCAACAGCATGGGCACTGATCTACACAATTGGGATACGATGACGTCCCACAATACAGAGCATGTTGGTTTGATATAGAGGAGACCATCAGAGGACTGCTTGACTGGAAAGTTTAAACATGACAGGATTTAAGTAATGTCTTGACTAGATAAAACAGTTGTATGTTTTCTCTGAAGTCAACTTATTGTTCAGATTGCTTAATATGCACTTATTATTTTCTCGTGATCCATAAGAAACTCTTTTCTGATATTAGTCAAACAAACTATCCACACACTGAGCTTTATCTGTAAATTGATTTTGTCAGTTATTCAAGCAGTATTTCAAGCAGGAACGATTTTAATGAGGCTGTTATGACCGACAGACAAAATAGGTTATTTTTGTGTCGCGTGAATGTACATATCAATTATAATGACCGTGGTAAAAGAGCATAAAATATACAACCACCAGGCCAGATGGCCAATGAGACACACTAGACAATATGTGAATAAAATATAAGATTAAACCATAACAGGAGTACCACACATGCGAAAGCACTAAGAAAAAAAATGTTTGATCAATATGTTATAGGGATGATAGCTTATGCCGATACATACAGCTGCCAGTGGATTAACAATATTTTCTGTTTGAAATGCAGCTTGTTCAGTGTTTGATAACTGAGCAAAGTTTAGGTATAGAATACTACCTTTTTGAAACAAATCATACCGAAGATCAGAATTATATGGACAGTTAACTAAGAAATTGACTTTGTCTTCGACGGCCTGACCACAACAGTGACGACAAAGCCTGTCTGCCAGTGGTGTGTTAGGGACTTTTCATAATTTATGGCAGGGGGGGGGGATGATTTGTATTTAGAAGCATGTACAATGTGAATGATCCCACTAAAATTTACGTACAAAGTAAGTGAAAACCCCCCCGCATATCATGTTCAAAATCAATGACCCCCCTCCCATATTCTTTAAGCATAATGTAGTATTTTTATGTACAAATTTGCCCCCACTAGTATATGTGTACAAAATTGCTGACCCCTTCCTTCCCAGAACAAATTGTGTGACCCCCCCTTAAAATCATCATCAACCCCCCAGCCATAAATTATGAACGGTCCCTTAGGACGAGAAAATCTACCATGTTCTATTTCTAATGGAAGTGTACCACTGCGTATGTTTACCTACAACGCTATGGTGCTATCCAGGCAGTATGGAAGTTATGTATGGTTCAGAAGTAACAACTAAAGAAATTATTTTGAATTGTTCTCCAACAGACTAATCAGCTTTCTCAGTACATGCATAAAAATAAAATCGGTGGTGTCACTCACCTGATCCAGCACTTGATGGCCTCTCCCGCCAATGTGCTACACACTTCACAATGTTTTCCCGGATGATTGGAGTAATTTGGCACAAAACAAGGTAGCCGGAGATTTCTTACATCTGTCAAGGAACCTTCAGTATTGTGTAGACTGAACACACATACACATGAGCAGTAATTAAGCACTACCTGAATCCAAAGGCAATTCTTTCACTGGATGCTTGGCATTTATGACTGCCTGCATGGAACCAGTGTTTAACGGCAGTTGTCGACATTCCTGTAAAAGTATAGAAGTCTGTTGACAATGAGCAAATTTCAATCTGTTGCTTACTGCAGTTAATGTCGAACAATAATTTGGCCCACTGTAAAGAAACATTTGGACAACTTGAAATATCAATGTTCCCTGCTCTGTTTTACCCACATGCCTCTGTTTAGTCAAATTGTAAGTATGTGCTTATCTCTACCTCAGTAGTATACTCCTCACAAAAAATTAAGCAACAAGTATTTTCAGTGTTATATCTTTATCAATATTGATAGCAAATTTTGCCGACATGTTACTGAAGGGTAAATAGCTTTCAGTATTCAAAGAATACATAACCTTTAGTGACTGTCAAATTTATTTATCTGATAACATTGATTACATCACCCGAACACAACCACCCTCAGAAACAACATGCAAAGTGTCTGGCATGAATCTGCTCCACTCTTCACACATGCACCCTGATCGGTGGAAACCTACCTGTAATCATTCCTCTTGTACAACAAACAGGTCCTTACTTCATTTTTTATGGATGATTATGCCCGTCCATGGATGATAATGCCTGAGGAAGAGTTGTTAACGACGTTGCTTAGGTCAACAACATCACACATATGGACTGGCCTGCAAGGTCACTTGATCTGAATCCCATTGAACATACATGGGACATTATTGGAAATCGTGTTTACAGTCTCCATGTTCACCCCCAGACTCTGGATGACCTTGAGCAGGCATTACAAAGAGAATGGCAGAACATTCCACAACAGCAACTTTAAAGGCTCATTTGATCAACGCCAAGACGTGTAGAAGCTTGCATTTGTGCTCATGGTGGTCATACGCGTTACTGAACACTGCTTCACTGTCCAAAACTGACTTGAACCGTAATGTTAACATTTTGCTCCATCAATGCAGCACATTTTGCACGACTGTTTCACGGGTACATGCTTTTGATGATTTGTAAGTCTATTATTGCTCAATATCATTTCATGTTGTTATTCTGTGTACATATGTTTCACCTTTCTATTGCATCATTCCATGATTTACAATTGCAATAAATGAAAATGTAATGAGACTAAAAATTTGTGTTGCTTAACTTTCTGTGAGGAGTATAATATTGTGTTTCCCTATAGTCCCTCACACTTTGGCTTCTTCCTGCACGAGCATCACCTGTGTTCATGCATGACGTGAAATGTCATTGTGTTCAGATGTAGCATTTAGATGGAACACCACAGTACTGTAAATGACAGATACTTTGCATAGTTAGTTCCTTATTTTTAGTCGGTGGTATACAAGAACAGTACAGCAAACTTTGACAACTAAATGTTCTGTGTTGGAACTGGTACCAAGAGGGAGTTCTAAGGGATGCAACTCTGCATAAACACTGAGTTACTGAGGTTCAGGGAGATGCCAATGCAACTCTATTGAGTTACTGCAACTGAGACAAGAGGTTATACTGCACCAAATCCGAATCAGTTTAACAAGCAGTAGGGAGTCTTCAGTGCAGATTAAATCATCTGGCAGCTGTGATTGGCTGATTTTGTGTTTAAGATATTTGTGTTTCTTATATGTACATCCATCAGTAGTTAAAACTGACCATATTTTCTAATATTCAAAGCCGTGTTTTTAACATGATGAATTATGTATGGTGAATGTAACCAAAGGAACTGGTTGAGGTTGTTTTGTTAATATTGCTGCTTTATGGCTAGACAATGCACAAATGTACATGGAATAGCTGCTGCAGGCAGATTAATAAAACTCTAATGTTGCTATAGATGTCAATGGGAAAATATGTTGGTGTTTGTGTAGCCTGGAGCACCACCTCAGTCACCAATACTGAGATCCCCAGCACATTTAACTACCATGCAGTAGCCAACCAGTTGTAGGGTAAAATTGTGCCTATGGAACATTAATGTCTTTCAAATTACAACCAAGGTAGCCTTTGCATCCATAATAAGACAATATTGTGAAGGATACGAGCCAGCCTCATGATGGAGACTGCCACAGTGTCCTTCCTCCTCAAGGACGGTGTGCTCTGCCTCCTGGAAGAGACGTTTACGCAGACGGTCATTCACCAGAGGTAGGATGTTCTCCAGGGCATCCTTGAACTCTTTCCCTGTCAGGTGACCCCCCTCAAGGGATTGGAAGGGCAGGAGCTGATTCTCCAGCTGCAACAGCCAGGGGGCAATATTTGAACATACAGCATCATCAGACTAGTTCATCTTATATTACCCTGTGAAGATCCAGGTTAGAATTGATCTTCAGCTCATGCTGTTGATCACTGGATTGTCTGGTCCAGACTCGATTATTTACAGACTGCTGCCATATAGCTGGAATATTGCTGAGTGAAGTGTAAAACTAAACTCACTCACTCATCTTATATTATTAGGAAGCCACATGCATTTTCTAAATTAAAATGTTACAGTTGAATTCATGAAACATAAATTTGAAAAAACATTCGTAGCAAACATATTTTTTCAAAATATGCCTGATTTCAATCACCTTCAAGATTCTTTTCAAGAGATGAAATTTTACAGACCATATTTCATAATGTTATAAGTTACATAGAGAATTTCATTTTCTGAATGAAGGCATTTTCACATTTGTTTCAAGTTAATGTGGTAACATTTTCTCAGTTATTGTTTTAAGATAATATGAAATAATCAAAATATGGTTGATAAGAGTTGAGTGGTATATAACTATGAGGGTGTACAGTCCTGCAACTGAGCTGTACCTCGAGGAAGCGGGGCTCACGGTACTTCAGGATGATGTGGATGATGAAGGTGGAGACATTGTGAGCAGAGATCCTGTTCTCACTGAACGACTGGTAGCTCATCTGTAGCGTCTCGAGGTCGTCCTCCTGGAAAATATGTTGAGGTTAACCTTGAAGGGATTCAGATCACTTTAAAATAATGTAATTTTCTGAGTAAAATTGATATTTTATACTTATCCTGACTCATGTATTTTTGCTTGTCTTCTTCTCCTTGCGATCGTTAGTGGAACACTTGAATCCCCTTTTTGAAGCTCCCTTCAAAAAAGCAGACGTAAAATCACTACTCACCAAGAGTTTTCTCCCTTCCCAGTTTTGGCAAGGAAGCGGCACAACCGTCTCTCCAGCTCCTCACTCTCTCCATTATTTCAAGCCCGACACTTAGATTTGCTGGGAAATCCAAAAGTGCCTTGAGGGAGGTTGGGAGGAGCTTACCTCATGAGTCAGGATAAGTATAAAATATCAATTTTACTCAGAAAATTACATATTTTTCCTTATCCTGCTCATCTTATTCCCCCCTTGTAGAATCCCGCAGTTTGGCGATGGGTCATGCCACTTCTGGATTCAAGCTTGGTGATTTCGTCCTGCATACCCCCCCTATGGGAACTTCATGGTAGCACTGTTAATTACTGCTAGGTTCTGCTGCTGCTGCCCTTGCTTCCAGCTTTCTCTGATGGGGGGACCACAATTTGTCAACTTTTGGTCCTTTCTTCTGTTAACATTATATGTGGATTTGAGCAACTCCATCTCTTGATGCATGCATCAAGTGGAGAAGCGACCCTTCTTATGTACGAGTACGTCCTTACAAGTACAGGGTCTATCACTCATGCTAGTCTGTCTTAGACGTGCACATGGACTCTAAAGCTCTAACTCCCCAGAGTGTTGGCTTTTGCAAGTCACGTGATAAAGGGCGAGACTCTGTCTCAGCGCCTTTGTGGAACTGTCAGTTGTTGTGCTACAACAAGCGGTCCGAACTGGTGAATACGGAGCGTCCTCGGTGGCGATGTCTCTCAGGTAGTGGTTGGCAAACGCCATGTCCGATTTCCAGAAGCAGCCCTCCATTATCGTAGTGATGGAGCAGTTTCCATGTAGAAGCTGAGTGTTGATGCCAGAGCTCTAACTTCATGTGGATTGGAGGCTCGTGAAGGATCAAGTCCTGCTGCTTTATAGGCCCTTAGGATGACAGCTCTCATCCATATTGATATCGTTGTCGCGAGAGATCTCTGTTGGTGTCTCTGTCGATATAGGGATGAAAAGGCGCTTGAATTTTCGTCTCCTGGTCCTAGACCTTTGTAGGTAGACTTTTAATGCTCTTACTGGGCACAAGGATAGGTCCTGTGTATCCTGAGGCCCAAGGACTGATGATAATGCTGGGATGTGGAACTGTCTGTCAGGTTGACCTGGTAGTTGATTCTTTGCTATAAAGTCCCATCTTAGTCCCATATGTACGATGTTGCGGTGAGCATCAAATCGTGTCCGTTCAAAGTCCAGAGCATGTATTTCCGACATCCGTGCTGCTGTTGCCAAGGCAATCAGAAATAGAGTTTTCTGTGTCAAGAACTCATAAGATGTCCTATCTAATGGTTCATAAAGCGTCACTGGTGAGATGCTGTAGAACTATATTGAGGTCCCAAGCGAGACTTTAAATCTCTGTTGTTGGTCCTCCAACTTGAAGGATCATAGTAAGGCCAGTATCTCTGGTACCTTAGTCAGTTTACACTTTCGTCCTCATGGTGATAACTGAGCTCAATGCGCTAGGTATGTTGAGAGTGTTGACCTTTTAACAACCGTTTGTCTTAGATGACACTTGAGGGTGTGTAAACTTTCATGGCTGTGAAGCCCTTCCTCAAAGCATAGGTCTCAAAGCTTAGCCACTTGTGCGTCATACAAGTTGCGGGTTGATTCTAACGTAAAGCTAGCGTGACGCTTTGTTGCCTGGCGAATTATCCTCTCTTATTCAAGCAGCCTTGATACAGTCCATGCGTGTAAGTGGAACACTGTGGGGTTCCCGTGTGCTTGCTTGGTGTGCGGATGTACTAGCAAGTTAGATCCACTCTGGTAGTTGCAGTTGAGGAGGTCCCAGTTCTTGTATGAATGGGAACCACACATTCTAAGCTGGCCAATAAAGTGACCAAAATCAGTTACAGGTTCCTGCGTCTGCATGATTTTCTGCAACACTTACTACTAGAGCTGGAAGGGGAGGCAACGTGGCGTTTAGTCCTTCCCAAAGAGATGCTCAGAGCATCTGTTGCCCATGCTCGTGGATCTGGTATTGGAGAGGCGAATGTTGCCAGTTGATTGTTGAATCTTGTGGCGAACAAGTCTATGGCCGAGCTCCCATCTGTTGTATGATCTGTTTGAAGATCTGTGGATGTAGCATCCATTCTGTTGGGGATGGTTGTGTTGGGCCGAGATAGTCGTCTACTTTCACATTCTTGGCTCCTGGAATGTGGCATGCTTTTATGTTGATGTTCAGATGCGTCCGTTATGCTGAACAGATGAAAGCAAAGGTCCAGAAGGTTCCTTGTTCGACCTTATGCGATCCTTGTTTGTTTATGTGGAGCGCCACTGTGGATTGATGATGCATCAGATGAGCATTTTTAGAATGGTGGTCCAGTGGAGTATGGCTTTTATGACTGCTTTCATTTCTGGCATGTTGATATGCAGACCCTTCTCCTGTAACGTCCATTTCTAGCTGACAGACCCTTGTCGTAGTCGCTCCCCATCCCTGAAGAGATCGTCCGCGTAGAGATGAGTTTTGCACTCGGCTCTGCTAAGTAGGTACCTCCGCCAAACATTCGATCTCAGAGTCAACCATAGTAGATATGGTTTTAGTCTGTCCTGGAGTCTGAATCATCCAGATGGGCATTCACGAAGACCTGTAGTGGGCGTCATGTCCTGTGCTGAAGTGAGGGAGACCCAACAGGCTTTGCCACTCTGCGTGAGTAGCCCGCGGAGTAGAGCTTGAGATACCATCTGTTGTATCTTTAGCCAACGGTCCTCTGGAACCGCTATGCGGTTTTCTGTTGTGATGAGCCGAATTCCTAGGAACTGCAGGTCCTGTGTAGGTTCTAGTTCCGACTTGAGGATATTCACTAGCCATCCTAGTTGAGTGAGAAGCCTGATGGTGAAGTCTAGTTGTAGTCTGAGATGACTGGGATCTTGATGAGCCTGAATCCCATCGTCCAGGTAGAACGCACTGCGTAGACCTCGATGATGTAGGTATGTGACAATGGGCTTTGTCACTCGTGTAAACAACCAAGGGGACGATGATATTCCAAATGGAAGGACTTTCCATTGGTAGTGTCGTCTGTCTAGTAGGAATCTTAGGTATTTCCTTGATTCCGGATGTATAGGGATGTGCAGGTATGCGTCCTGTAGACCTATGCTGACCATATGGTCCGACGGACGAACGAGATATAGTAGTTGAGGCAGATGAATCATTCTGAATTTTGCCGGTCTGCGTAGATAATCTCTGTTGAATGTCCTCATGTTGTGTATCAGTCGGAACTTTTCTTTGGAGTTTTTCTTTGGTACAAGGAAAACTGGGGAGTAGAATCCTGGTGAGATCTGGTCCTGATCTATCACCTCTATAGCGTCCTTCTCTAGTAGAGATGTGACAGCTTCAGCGCAACCTCTCTATCCGATGGGCAGCGGTTGAAGCCCTGAGGTGTGTCCGTTAATGGAGGGGCTGCTTGTAGTTGTATTTGATATCCTGCTTGGCGCCAGGATGTTGGATAAAATTGGTCCTGAAGAATTCCCAATTCTCCCAGTAGCGTTGTAAAGCGTTCCCACTTGGGAAGGTTGTACAGGAACGGCTGGGGTGGGAAGACTCCAGTCGTTCTGAACCCGTCATTCATCGTCTAGATCCTCTGGCACCTCTGGGTGCCCTGCCTCGTCGGATGTCCTCTATAGGTCCCGGATGAAGCGTGAAAAGTCCTTTCCTCTTCTGGAGGTCCATATTTCTTTTCTCTTGCTCTTTGGATGCCTGCAAATTTAGATTTGCCGAGTAGCGTTAGGGCGTCTGCTTGATGACACTGGCTAGTGTATCAATGGACTTTATCATCATCACCTCCCTGGATTCCTTTGTGACTTCCTTGGCAACTTATCAATCTCTCCGAAGACCGATGTTGTAGACCATGGCTCTGTAGAAGAGTCTTAGTGAAGCGTTAAAGCTCCAGTTGCATGAAGACAAAAGCCCTGTCTTCTAGCAAGCGTCAATGCTGCTGATATGGATGCCAAATGCTCTGACATAAACTGGTGGTCCTTTTTCTGCGTTAGTAAGGCAGAGTAAATCATCCAGTCCTCCTCGAGTTTGAGTTCCTGAACTTGGAGATGAGCATCTCATTAATTGCCCTTGATCTGGTAAGTCGAAGAAGGTCAGCCTGGTCATAGTGTCTATCTGTGCCAGCTTTTGTCATCAATCTTATAAGATTTGGTCGGGGAGTAGTTGATGATTTTATAGTTCTCATCTATCTCTGGTGCCTTCATGAAGAGTCAATATTGTGTAGTTTAGAACTAGCTGCGTTGAACTGATCATTCGGAATACTTTGGCCTGGAACTTTGTTGCCTTCCTCAAGTCTGCATCAAAGGTCCTCAGAGATGCGTCCGAGACAGGGTCAATTGGAGGTAGGGTTGATGGTCTCCACATCATCATCCGTCATTAGTGCGTGAGTGCTTCATTCTCCTCCTTAGAGGGGTGAAGCCAGGTCAGTCCGTTAACTACATCCAATATTTTATCTCTGAATCGGAAAATATGATTCCATCCATCCGTCCTCTGTATCATGTCCAGTTGAATATTGTGGCTGAATCGGTGTCCTCCGTGTATGGAGATCTGCGTGGAGACCTGCGTGGAGATAAGTATGTAGAACTATGTGTAGTTCTATAAGGAGATCTGCGTGGAGACCTGCGTGGAGATGAGTATGTAGAACTATGTGTAGTTCTATAAGGAGATCTGCATGGAGACCTGCGTGGAGGTGTGTGCCTTCGTTTCCGTGATTGCCTTCCTTAAGGCAATATGGTCCTTTGTGGTGACTTTCGTGGAGATCTGTGTGGAGATGTTGACATTCTTGATGACGTTCCTGAAGACCTGCGTGCAGGTGAGTGATTCTGTTGAGGGTCCAAGTCCTGAGACGCCTCTCTGCACCTTCTCGGAGGTGTAAGTTTCTTTCTCTGCGTTGCAGGTTGCCTGCGTGAAGGTCCTTCATTATTCACATCATCAGATGACAATCTATTTAGGTCCGGTGAACGTCCATTCCTTAATCGTGCAGGTTCGTTGAGTAGTGCAGAGCAGGTCTACCCTTAGTCCGAGTGCTAGTACCTCTAGCAGACATCGCAGGCGCACAACCTGTGCGGAGTCCTTCATGCAGCAATAGTCCCTCGCGCAGGTTGATGACTTGAGCATGAGAGCCACCTGGCTGTCCATCATGCAAGGTCCTTTCCTGCGCGAACCGTTTCTCCATCAGGTCCATCATCTGTTGGGAGAATTGCTGCATGAAGGTCCCGGGGTTGAACGTCTGCGACGACACATCTGAGAGGATAGCGATAGGGTCCAAGGATCGCTGTGCCTCATGGGTCCGTGATGCCTGCGTTAGGGGTAACTCGGACTGTGTAGATAAGGTTGCTGAGGTTACCGTAGCTGAGGCTTTCGTCTTCTTCTTAGGCGGTACCTCTGGGATGAGGATAGGAGGTTCGTCATATAAGCCTATTTCCTCAATCGGGACGATCTCAGTAGAAAAAGTCCTCTTATTCTGTGATGTGCCCCCGGAAGACTTCGATGAAGGATTAACTGTAGAATGCTTCTTCTGAGAAGATGATGGTTTCTTCTTCTTAGTATGGGTTGAGGAATTGTCCGAAGTAGACAATCTTTTCTTCAAGGTAATGGCGGACAGAATCCCACGCCCATCTTCCGAAGACGCCTCCGGGAGATCACTGGAAGGAAGCATGTCGTCTGACAATGACAAACGGTTCCTTAAAGACTCAGCCGGTTTAGCTATGACTTGCAACAGCCGTCTGGATTTATCCTTAGCACGTCTAAGCAGAGAAAACTGATAATTATTAAAATCAAAATCTGTTAAATGCTGACAAATATTACAGTGAGAGCTGGAAGTACATGTTGTTGTGCAACTGGGGCACAATAGCGGGTCTGCAGCAGAGAACCTAAATTTGCAACGAAAACAGGTTTTCATGAAATGTAAACAAACTGAACAATCACGTAAAAACGTGAATAAACAGTCAAAATTGATAATAAGTTTCAAACCATATTGTAGAAGGATACTCCCTGAAACCTTATAAAGGTAATTTAGAGGGTAATATCTAAGTAAGAAAAGGATATAGTGTCGTGTAGGAGACCCAGGTGCTCTCCCAACCGTCCATTGGGGCGAAGAAGGAGAGAGTGAGAGTGTTCCACTAACGTTCGCAAGGAGAAGAAGACAAGCAAAAATACATGAGTCAGGATAAGGAAAAATACAGAATTCTCTCTTTATTGATATGTTCATGTTAACATATGAGGTGAGGTGAAGTGAAATTGGGTTTTACGTCGTGCTTGAGAATTTTTCGCTCATATGACGACATGCATGCGTGTGTATGTGTATGTGTGGCTGCTTGTACTAGCCCAGACTTAAGCTGGTTTTATAGTGCTAGCCCACTTCGATACCATGCCGCAGTAAAGCATGAATACCCCACTCAACATATCAAGGGTGATGGAGCCATTAATGCCAAGCACCTGGCAGGGACCAACAAGTACCATAAAGTGTTGGCGCAGTGCTCGTCCATGCTCTCGGTAGGACGCTCTAAGGCCCAGATTGAAGGGTGATTCCCCAAAGTGTTTGCTAGGTACAATGTGTGAAGCCTATTTCTGGTGTCCCCTGCCATGATAGTGCTGGAATATTGCTAAAAGCGGTGTAAAACCATACTCACTCACTCACTCATGTGTATGAAAACTAATGGCAGCATTTGGGAGTCAATACACAAACCTTCATATATACTATTCAGTAGATAATGATTGTTCTCAAATATGCTGCTCAAAGTGTGAAACTGAACCAAATCTTCAGCTTGACCATCCCTTGCACAAGAGAGAGATTTGATTGGACAAATATTATTAGTATTGTATCAGACTCACAACAAAGCTATGGTAATGAATTGATCCAGGGTATTTAACATACTGCAATGGAGATATAGTTCATTGGCTAATTAGGGAGTTGATACAATGTGTCTGCCACAATCTCACACTCCACAGTATGGGATATTTCTACCACTCTGCAGGAACGTACCCCGAGGAAGGGGTAGACGGCTGATGCGAATGCCCGAAAGTCTTCAACCTCCTTCCAGTCCACGATGTTGATGTAGTCGCACATGAGCAGGACATACCGTAGACATGAAGCATCCAAGTTGCCACTGAGGACAGTGCCAAGAAGCTGAAGAAACTGGAAATCACCAAAAATATTAATCTGATGCAGGAATATATTTGTTGTAAAATCAACATAAAAATATATCAAATAGTGTGTACACTACTGCCCTGGTAATATTTCTGAAAGAATTCTATCCTCCATCTATGCCAGCCCTAGACAAAGATGTCAGGTTCATGATGATAGCATGAGACTCACCTTGTTGGTGGGCGAGTACTCCGTGATGGCAGACAGGAAGTCATGGGCGGCCAGGTACACAACCTCCTCCACCAGGTAGCGCTCTGTCAGGAACCGGTACAGGTTGTCCTGGCAACACACGTTACTCTCAACAATAGAACAAGAAAGGGATAGGTCTTCAGAAAGATTTGTAAGACATGATCATGATTGTTCTTGTATGATAACGTGTCACATTCAGTTGCAGTCAAATATGGATCATCTGTTAACCATCTACAGAGCAACTGCAGAGCATCTACTAAGGGTCTACCACATGTAAAAAAAAATATCTTCCAAGTTTCTCCTGAAAGACTACTGAATGATTACCAAGCTTATATTAAGTGACTACCATGTGTCTACTAATCATTTACCAAGTTAGTGTCTCCAGAGTCTCCCAAATTGTATACAGAGTGTCTAGCTAGATCAGATCACCCAATCGCTAAGTTTCCACTGAGAGTTGCCCTGGAGCCTATTGTATACAGACTGTCTACCAAGAGTTGAGGGAGAGTCAAGTGTCCACAGAGAGTCTACTGAGAGTCCACAGAGAGTCTACTGAGAGTCTACTGAGAGTCCACAGAAAGTCTACTGACCAGTACTGAGTGGTACCCATCCTCCTCCTCCCCGTAGTCATCCTGCCACATGATGAACGCCAGGAACTGCTCCATCACCGACACCGTGCGGGGCTGCAAGGGGAGACAATAAGGTCTCTGTTCATGTAACCTCTTGAAACTTCTGTAACTCACTTCCCCAGTATGCTGTGCCTTTCTATGTATAACAAGCGTGTAGTGAAATTACAATTTCACATGTGCAACTCACACACCTGGTTGTTCTACCAGCAAGTGGTCCCCCTCATAAAAAATAGCGAAAAGTGACAACAAAATAATGATCGTTTGTTAAACAACTTTTTCATTCGGGTGTCCAAAATTATGAGACAAATCATCAGAGTTGGTCTGTTGATTTCACGTGACTATGCAAAATTTGGTTTTGTTGCAATTATTAGATTCCCTTTTAGTGAGCAATTCATTGATCTCAAATGAAATCAAATGGACTGTAGGCTCCCTTACAAGATCCAGTGGTCTGGTGACTGTCCTGTCCACGTTGGTCCTCTGACGGAAGTCGTCCCACACAGCCTGCATTGTGTTCACCTGGGGACAGAAACCGCATCATTAGAGTGGGTCAGTTTATTGGTTCATTGTTGTTTAATGCTGCACTCAGCAATATTCCAGCTATATGGCGCAGTCTGTAAATAATTGAGTCTGGACCAGACAATCCAGTGATCAACAGCATGAGCATTGATCTACACAATTGGGATATGATGACATGTTTCAACCAAATCAGCAAGCCTGATGACAGGAAATGGGTTGCTGAGGACCAATTCTAACCTGGATCTACAAGTGTTAGTGAGTAAGTGAGTGATTGGGGTTGACTCCCTTCTAAACAGTACTTCAACTGTACGTCAATGTTCCAGTTTACCATAAACAATAGACCCTGAACCAAAACCCTTTTCCTCCAGATGCATCATGGTTTTATCGCCTTTTGGTATTGTCCATGCTACATTCCACTGACAAAATTTGTCATTTTAATTTTAAAAAATTAAATAAACAAACATGCTATACCCAATTCGATATTTGATGGGCTGAAAATATACTACCCATCAAAAGTTTAGACTCACTTAAAGCACTCACTATATGTTATGTATATGTATGTGGTTACATCGAAGATGAATTTCTCCACCAACTTGGGGGAACCAACTGAAAACCTTATGCAGATGAATTGCACAAGGATGATGCTTCAAATTGCGAAAGGCATGAGCAAATGTCGTGCATGTGAACAGATGCGTTTTGGTGTAAAGTTTTGTTAAGAATTCGCCAATTTTCACAGATTTTAATCATTTACTGAACTCATGACAATAATCTTTTCAATGTTACGAATATGTTTTACAATACACCAGTTCATAACTAAACAGTACCTTTAAACAGTATGGAATATTTTGCAAAAAGCTAGTTTAGAACAGTGGACAAGTAAGTGGCTACATTTACACTAGTGAGTCTAAACTTTTGATGGGTAGTATATAACCAAAACAGATTTTGTCAAATATGTACACGTGTGACATGTGTCACTATAGATGTTATTGCTCACAATATTTCCCTCCCCTCCAGCCATGCTTGTCCCCCCTCGAGACAGCCCTGGGGTGAGGGGGCCAGTGGGCGTGGTCAAGGAGTCCTGGTGCTGGGATACAGAGCTGGGGATCATGTCGAAGGCAGTGTCGGGAGTCGGTGGCTTCATGATACTCCTGTGGAAGGAGTGGTAGAGTTCAGGATAATGAAATCACTACTCAGTGAGTGTGTGAAGTTTAACTGTTGGCAACATTGTTGCCATTGATCTAGGAGTAAAGCCTGAAGTGATACAGGTCTTTAACTGCAACCATTTCGGTGAAATGCATCACCAGAAGTATAGGGCTTACTTAGAATCATGATCAGGGAAAACAGAGATTTTAACCTTTTTCTGAGGTATCAACAGCATTAAGAAACGAATAATTACCAAACTATTTGGTTTCAAGTTTATCTTTACTATGCAAACCTTAAGAATGCCTTATTTGAAGCATAGTTTAACCTTATGAATTTGGATGGCTTACTTGTGTCCCTCAAGTGGAAATAGAAGGAAACAGCATTTTCTTACAACTAGAATTACAAAAAAACGAAAATACAAAAGTTTTATTCTCATACATATTTCATTCCTTCAAACTTTGCTATTGCGACATGGCGACACTTACTCCACCAGATCTCTGTTGATGCGGACTTTGGGCCGAGTAATCTTAATATGTGTGCAGTTGTGAGGTAGGATGAAGATTTTCTCTGATCCCCCGAGTCGGTGCGGACACACAACAGTCTGAAATATACACCAAATAATGACAGGAGTTGAAGGCTCTTTCACACTGTCCAAATTCCTGTTTGTCCCGAGGTCAGGGACAGCCATTGTTTATCACGGACTGGTATGTTATCAAGTTAACCTGCCCTTTCTCTGGCATTATCATTTGTTATGACAATGAAATAGGAATACTGATTGTGTGCCAAAATAGTGAATCATGTTGTTATTTTGAGTCTTTTTAATATCAGTTAGGCTTGACGTTAAGTGAAGGTCATGGACATAAAATGTTTGGAAATGGCATGTAAGTTTCAGGAGTTGCTCTGTGGTCTGGTTAAAGATTTAGAGGAATTTGACACTGTGCTTGTAGTAACTACCGGTGACTGAAAGCATGAGCAGTGGTCCGAACCATCAAGACATGACTTCCTTGCCTTCAGTCAATTCCATCCTCGATAATCTCCAGGGTATACATTACGATCACTCTCCACTATACCCTGGATGCATCCCCGGCATGGCACGATAATTATATTACCTCCCTTTGCTGGCTCCACATTCTCACAGTAGCCAATCAGCTAAGCCGCCGTTACATCCGAGCTTGCCAGTGTCAACAAAGATAGCGGTCGCAGTCAGCGAAGGTTTGTTCGCAGTGCCACTCAGATTTTTGAGGAAATAATACAGACAAATTGACAGATCTGAAACTTTCAAAAAATATATAAAAGAACTCCTTCTACCTCTTTCAGAGTACCTCTGCATCAATTGTGTTGCCAAGTTTAAACGGTTAGATAATTTAAGAAGCGAAAGTGTAAGAGTTGTGATTGGTTCGCTCAACTTCCCAGCGTAGACGCCTGATTGGATAAAAAGCCAGCCAAGGGAGGTAATAAAATCATCGGTCCAAGCCGTGGATGCATCCAGGGTATAGTGGAGAGTGATCGTAACGATATACCCTGGAGATTATCGAGGATGAGTCAAGTCAAGAGCCAACAAATCAATACCCATAGTAGTAAGCTCATAAGACATGCATGAGAAGATATAGTGGGACAGGAATATTTCCTGAACCGATTCTCAAACAGGTGAGTCAATAGAGTCCTACTTTATCCATATCTTGTTATGAGACTATCATTATGTAGTATAACCAGAAATTATTGAGAATTTTAGGAATATGTTTAATTGGATTTCTAGTATAAACAACCTTGACCAGCTATCAAGTGCTTGGTTTCATTCAAGAGAAACAACTCTGTTAATCCTTTTTCATTAGTTTGTGAAGAGTTATCCCCCTTTGTTTACTTGCTAGCAGACGATATTTTCAGTGATCCTCAGTATGGATGATTTAGAGAAGAGGAAGTTGATTTTAGAGTATTATAACAAGGACATCAGATCAGCTAAAGTGATTTCAAGTAGAACAGGCATCCCTTTGTCCACTGTTTATCGTGTTTTGAAAAATATTGCAAATGGATATGGCATTGAGCACCAGGGAGGCGCAGGTAGGCCCAGAAAATTGACTGTCGGTGACAGGAGGCGGCTTGGTATTCTTGTTTCTAAAACAAAGGAAGAGTTTAGAAACTTAAGGCTGGATATGATTGATAGAGGAACTGTGGCTGTCTGTAAGGAGACAATTAGAACTGAGCTGCATGCAATGGGTTGGCAGAAAAGTCGAGGAATTCCATCACCGATCAGGAAACCTGAACAAAAGGAGTGAAGGTTGAACTGGTGCTTACAGCATAGAAATTTTAACTGGGACAATGTGATTTTCTCAGATGAAAGTTCTGTGTGGCTGTTTCCTAATACACTGAAATTCTGGACCAAACAAACTGAAAAACCTTTGTATCAGTGCCCAAAGTACAGTCCGAAATTTAACGTGTGGGGTGGCATATCTGTGTTAGGGGCAATGCCCCTCTGTGTATTTGAAGGGAATATGAACATATGAACAGTGAGCGGTACACAGATATTCTCGAGGGACATTAACTTCCATCTGCTCACGTGTTCTATGGAAATGTTTGGAATTTCCAGCAGGACAACGACCCAAAACATCGTTCAAAGCATTCACAGGCCTGGTTTCGGAAATATGACATTATTAGATTGGCCAAGTTATAGCCTTGACCTAAATCCAATAGAAAATGTTTGGGGACTTATGAAGGAAAGTGTCAATAAGACAAAATCTGACAAATATTGCTGAAATGAAAGAAAAGGTGGTCCGATATTGGGACAGCATGGACCACGACTTTCTAACTTCTTTGATCAGTAGCATGCCCCGCCGCATTGAAGCCTGCATTGCTGCCCAAAATACTAACTGTTCACCAGTCTTTGAATCTGGAGTTATGTTTTGCTAATATTCACATTTAATACGTGAGTAATGAGTGAACGAAAAAAAAATTTACAATCTTAAATTCTCAATAATTTCTGGTTGTACTGTAAATCATTTAATCTTTTTGTGAGAATGTTCTGAAATAAATCTTTATTGAATTACCTTTTCTCCACAGCTAGGGCAATATTTAGCATCTTTGAACTCTTCAAAAGTCTTCCCTGTGTTGTTAGACGTGTAGATCATGGCAGCATACTTGCTGAACACGCGCTCCTGGGGGATGAACGGGTCTGTCATGGTCTCGTCCATCTCACCCTGCCCCAGACCCGCAGACAGGATGGAGTCTGAGAATAAAACCACTTTAGTCAGGGATAGTGGACACAAGATGGCTGCCACCACCAGATTCAACACACACACACACACCCAAAGACCGACAGGATGGAGCCTGAGAACATAACCACTTTAGTCATTGATAGTAGAGGCTGCCACCATCAGACTCCCCCCACACACACACACACACACACACACACACACCCAAAGACCGACAGACAGGATGGAGCCTGAGAACATAACCACTTTAGTCATTGATAGTAGACCATCAGACTGCCACACACACACACACTCCCAAAGACCATCAGACAGATTTTACATTATTTACACACACACACACCCAAGATGGAGCCTGAGAACATAACCACTTTAGTCAGGGATAGTAGATACAAGTTGACTGTCACAGGCAGGTGCTGGCGATTAGGTGTCTGACTCTGAGGGTGTGGGTTCAAATCCCGGATGGGACTCAACCCAACAAAAGTACTAGAATCTGTACTTACTGAGAATGTGTAATCCCAAATATAACATATGTTACATTTGACCACTTTCTAAATGGCATTTTGCATTCATTATTAAAGGAGCAAAAAACGTACCTGTTCTACTCTTTGTGCCTGTCTCAATTCCCAGTCTGTTTGACTTGTGCTCTTTCTTGGTTCTGTAGAAATAAGCAGCAAGTCAGTGAGTCATCAGTACGGTAAATCACGAAATTTTTGCGAGCATGATATTTTGGGGAAAATTGCAAATGACTTGAGTTCGCAAAAATATCATGATGCAATTTGCTGGTCAAACGCAATAAACAATCAACAAATAACATCTCATTATCTCTTTGTTATTCACCAGTTCATATAATCAACAACAGAGCTAGACAATATATCAATTAAGCAATGGCAGGACTTTGGGGGAGACTAATTACTAGCATTACTAGTACACACAAGTCACATGTCAAACAAGGGATACTCGAACAAAAGTTACTCAATCAGTATGTGTGATAGTCCAGACCGTTTGGTAGGCCGACACCATCCAACAGGCGTGGATAGGTTTCATCACACTTCTCCGGAGATTTACAGCTTTGGGGATGTCATTATCCTTATACTTTGCTCCTGAGTCCAACAATATATTAGAGGCATTCCAATTAGTATAATCCCTTTGAACTGTTTTAAGCTTATCTGGCCTATGCAGCATGTGTTGTTTTTAGGAAAGTACTCTACTGAGCTCAGTTCAAGATTAGCGGCAACTTTTAATATGTGATTGGATTTACTTTAGGTAGAACTTTCAGTTGCAATTTATTCTTGAGAATTGGGCAAGTCGCAAAAATATCATGGCACAAAAACATTAGTGGTTGCCACTCACAAATATATTGTGACGCAAACATTTCGTGATTTACAGTATGTGTAACAGAGTGAGTGAGTGAGTTGGAGTTGATATTAACTATCAGTTATATTGCAGCATGGGTCTCAGATATTTACCATCCTTATGAAACCCTTGAGAACATGTATTCTGGTAGCAAACCTAGAAACACAATCAGGGCAAACTAGGTTGGTACTTACGGCAATGGCGGCATGTTCTCCTCCAGTGTCTGCAACTGCTCCATCAACATTGTGTTGTGTTGCCGTAGCAACCCAAGCTCTGTCATCATCTCACCTATTGTCACCTGGAAACGTTCCTGAACTGCCTGGAGCTAGAGAGGGTCACAAGAACTAGGTTATGTCATTTTGAAGTCTTCTCACCAGAGTTCATGTGACCCTACAAAGTATTTTGATCGTCACAGTTTGGATGTGATCCGTCTCTGCCAAATGATTTATCTCACCCTATTTAATCTATCTCACCCTACTGATCCATCTCAAATGGTCTGCTTGCTCTTACCATAACTATCTTACCCAGTCTGATCTTTTCACACTTGTGTTCCTCAGTCCTTACCCTCTCAAACATATTCCAACTTCACCTTTTGTCAAACATCCTCCCCCTACTAGTCACTTCTCCTTTAGTCAAACATCAGCCCTCTCATCAGTTCTCCCCTTGTCAAACATCTTTCCCCTCCTAAGTCCTTCCCATTGTCAAACATCTTCCCTGTCCTCAGTCCTTACCCTCTCAACCATATTCCAACTCCTCACTTCTCCTTTAGTCAAACATCCTACCCCTACTAGCCACTTCTCCTTTAGTCAAACATCATCCTTCTCAGTTCTCCACCCTTGTCAAACATCCTCCTCCCTACTCAAACCTCCCTCTTGTCAAACATCGTTCCCCCCACCTGCTGGTCGGCATCCTCTATCTCCATCTCCTGTATCTCAAACTCGGCCTCCGTCATGTCCTCTGTGGTCACCTTGGTCTCCAGCTCCTCCTTGTGTTCCTCCAGGAAGTGGTCATACTCTGTGGGTAACACAAGCACTGACCATGTGTATAGCACCTCAATGACATATATACTGAGAGAAACAAATAAAGGAACACAGGAAAATTCAAGTGTTCCTTTAATATTTTCCAGTTTTCATCACCAGCTTTGAATAGCGCTGTGGGAGGAAATCTGAGAATGAATTAAGGAACACTGCCACGAAGTGGTGTTCCCTTATTTGTTTCCTTCAGTATATAATTTCTTACTGACCACCTCATAAAATCTCATTGACACAAAAATTCACTTACAGGCAACCTCATCAGACAACAACACCTTATGGATAAACAATGCCTTATAGAAAGTTGTCAAATGCAGCATAAGGAATATACCATATATAACATGCCTACTGACCACCTCTATAGCATGCTAAAGGGATATACCATATATAACATGCCTACTGACCACCTCTATAGCACACTAAAGGGATATACCATATATAACATGCCTACTGACCACCTCTATAGCATGCTAAAGGGATATACCATATATAACATGCCTACTGACCACCTCTATAGCCTCTATAGCACAGTGGGATATACCATATATATACCATATAACATGCCTACTGACCACCTCTATAGCATGCTAAAGGGATATACCATATATAACATGCCTACTGACCACCTCTATAGCACAGCTAAAGGGATATACCATATATAACATGCCTCTATAGCATGCTGATATACCACCCTCTATATAGCACTAAAAGGGATATACCATATATAACATGCCTACTGACCACCTCTATAGCACACTAAAAGGATATACCATATATAACATGCCTACTGACCACCTCTATAGCATGCTAAAGGGATATACCATATATAACATGCCTACTGACCACCTCTATAGCACAGTAAAGGGATATACCATATATAACATGCCTACCCTTATACATGCCTACTGACACCTCTATAGCATGCTAAGGGATATACCATATATAGCATGCCTACTGACCACCTCTATAGCATGCAAAGGATATACCATATATAACATGCCTACTGACCACCTCTATAGCACAGTGGGATATACCATATATAACATGCCTACTGACTACCTCTATAGCACAGTGGGATATACCATATATAACATGCCTACTGACCACCTCTATAGCACAGTGGGATATACCATATATAACATGCCTACTGACCACCTCTATAGCACGCTGGGATATACCATATATAACATGCCTACTGACCACCTCTATAGCATGCTAAAGGGATATACCATATATAACATGCCTACTGACTACCTCTCTATAGCACAGTAAAGGAATATACCATATATAACATGCCTACTGACCACCTCTATAGCACGCTAAAGGGATATACCATATATAACATGCCTACTGACCACCTCTATAGCATGCTAAAGGAATATACCATATATAACATGCCTACTGACCACCTCTATAGCACGCAGTGGGATATACCATATATAACATGCCTACTGACCACCTCTATAGCATGCTAAAGGGATATACCATATATAACATGCCTACTGACCACCTCTATAGCACAGCTAAAGGGATATACCATATATAACAGGCATGCCTACTGACCACCTCTATAGCATGCTAAAGGAATATACCATATATAACATGCCTACTGACCACCTCTATAGCATGCTAAAGGGATATACCATATATAACATGCCTACTGACCACCTCTATAGCATGCTAAAGGGATATACCATATATAACATGCCTACTGACCACCTCTATAGCATGCTAAAGGGATATACCATATATAACATGCCTACTGACCACCTCTATAGCTCAGAGCTATGACATCAGGGAGTGACTCACCCTCCATGGATGTGTTGAGGACAGTGAGAAGCTGTTGTTCAAGTTTACTGCAGCACTCGATCTGGCTGATCAGGTTGGCCTGTAGTACAAGCGTCGTGGATGTTAGGATATACACTCATAATATCATAGTTACAGGGGGTGGTGGGGTCCTCATCCCCATCTTCAGCCTAGTGGTTAAAGTGTTCATTCATCACGTCGGAGACCCGGGTTCGATTCCCCACATGGGTGCAATGTGTGAAGCCAATTTCTGATGTCCCTGCCATGATTTTGCAGGAATATTGCTAAAAGTGGCGTAGAACTAAAATTCACTCACTCACTCACAGTTACAACATACTGACTCCTTGTCTGGTGGATTTGAAGCCTTGTCAAAACATGAACAAATAGACATCGTTAAATTTGTTTTAACATATGTTATATTTGGGATTACACTTTCTTAGTAAAGTACAGATTCTAGTACTTTGTTGGGCTGAGTCCCATCCGGGATTCGAACCCACACCCTCAGAATCAGGCACCTAATCGCCAGCACACAAAGTCAGCTGCCTAACCCGCTCAGCCATCCGCAACTTCCACAAATGGAAGTCGGACAACTGGTAGACTAGACTTGGTGGAATCTTGAAAACTCACTTATTTATCCAGTTCCAAATGTAAATAATAAAGATCCCTCCATTATATTGTTGGGGATATTTAATACTCATTTCTGAGCACCAAGGCATCTACACTCAAATGGTGGTTGTGTTAGATATCTCGGAAAGAGTGAGTGAGTGAGTGAGCGAGCTAGCTTTAATACCTCTTTAACCCCTTACTGATCCTATTTTTCATTGAAATAGAACTCACTTTTACAAAAATAAAACATTATTTATGAAATTTCCAGTTGTGTGGAGATGATCTGTAGATACATACTCTCTTGGTGGAGATGACTGCTCGCTTCTTTGTCTTGGAATCATCTTCTTCCTCATCAGTCTTCTCAAGGAATGCTGGGTAATGTAGGAAATGATTATTTACATTTTTTCCAATGAGGTGTTAAATTTGGAATAGGAGAGAAAAAATTCAGACATCAGATAAATGACCACTGACGGCAAATTTAACATGACATGACATGACATGACACACCTGACATCACCTGACCATCACATGACATGACATGACATGACATCACTGCAATCCTATTTGTGATAACAGTGACAAATATGAAATGCAGTGTTAAATAGTTACAGATATCAGAATAATATCCATTAGCTTCTCATTTAACAAAACTCACTCACTCACTCATTTAACTGGATTACTTCATATCTCTATAATCCAATTTAAAACAAGGTGAAAATATGAAAATGCACAGTTGCATGAACGTGTCCATGAAACAAACCAGAAGTATGTCAGGGTCTGGGGTCTTGTTTCAGCAGCCTAAGAAATACATGTTGTTATGACTATATGCTAATAATACAGGTGGTGTAAACATATAAATTAACGTTTTTCTTAAACAAATGAATGTTGAATGTTTGTGTTACTTTACTGAATTATCGCTTTATTAAAGAAATATTACTATAAATGTTAAGTCTTGATAAATAAGTTTCCGTCATGCATGCACATCTTTATCACAGCCGCCTACTATGGCCAACTATTTGCAGACGATTGTTGCAAAGGTTTATAAGTTTTTGTGCTTGAAAAAGACAGAGGTAAACCTTTCATTAGTATAGAAATGGTTTAATACAGAACTTGTAGAGCTGTTGGTATGTCTTACCAACAAGTTTACAATATTGTAAACAAATCAGACAAGACAGGGGCCGCCTCAAAAGCAAAACCGATCGAAAACCATCCTTGACAACTTTGACAAGGGAGTACTTAGACGGGCTAGGTCTACAAACTTTAGGAGAAGAAGAATATATGTATATTCTAAAGAAGCTACACCAGTGACTTCGTTAAATCTTTGGCCAATGTTCACAACTAGATTAAACTGACCTAATTACATCCATATTTTTCAATGAAATATACTGTTGACATGCAAACATTTATTAAAACGCTGCACACATCTACAATCAATCGATAAGATAACACAAGTGATAGATTCTTTCCAATGTACAGTAATTTTATGTCTATTTCACAACAAACACACATACACAAATGATCCCTTTACATAACCAATAATGTGATACTATAATGCATACATATTCAACATTTTGATGAAAACATCTATTGAGATGACCCCTAGCCCGAAGCTGCAGTGCTCAGGTGTCAATTTCACCTGTCGATACTGTGCATGCTGATGACGTAACTCAGGCAGTTAATGTTTGTATCAAATAACGTCCAACTTTTTTGATATTTTCATCAGTAAAAACGCATTTTAGGGCATGTCTCAAAATTTATACCCACGGTCTACATTAGGTAGATGTTTCTTAAAGTGATATTTGTTATTTAAGTAACTGTAATACCTCTGAATTTTAAATATAAGTCAAAAAGCATTTTTCTAGCATTTCCGACAGTACTTTAGTCCAGAGGACTAGAGTAAACCGTATACTAGTTCTCACAGTTCATGGCTTGTCTTGCTTGAACAACAAATGTATATTGAAACGTTCCATGAGTTATATTCAGTTCCAGTTTGAAGCAAACTGGAGTATTGAGAACTGGTTAAGAACTACAAACCTCAAATGTTGTTTGCCACGGAAGATCACCATCATCAGATTAATCTTCTCTTCAGCATGGTTAAGTAGTGTTGTGCTGGCAGCTAGTGTGAGTTCTGTAGGCCTTTACTACACCGTGTATGGAGTCCATGTGTGCACTAACCATCATCAAATTAATCTTCTCTTCAGCATGGTTAAGTAGTGTTGTGCTGGCAGCTAGTGTGAGTTCTGTAGGCCTATACTACACCGTATATGGAGTCCATGTGTGCACTTACCATCATCAGATTAATCTTCTCTTCAGCATGGTTAAGTAGTGTTGTGCTGGCAGCTAGTGTGAGTTCTGTAGGCCTTTACTACACCGTGTATGGAGTCCATGTGTGCACTTACCATCATCAGATTAATCTTCTTCAGCATGGTTAAGTAGTGTTGTGCTGGCAGCTAGTGTGAGTTCTGTAGGCCTATACTACAATCGCAGTATGGAGTCCATGTGCACTTACCATCATCAGATTAATCTTCTTCAGCATGGTTAAGTAGTGTTGTGCTGGCAGCTAGTGTGAGTTCTGTAGGCCTATACCACACCGTGGTATGGAGTCCATGTGTGCACTTACCATCATCAGATTAATCTTCTCTTCAGCATGGTTAAGTGCAGTGTTGTGCTGGCAGCTAGGGTGTGAGTTCTGCAGGCCCATACTACACCGTGGTGGAGTCCATGTGCACTTACCATCATCAGATTAATCTTCTTCAGCATGGTTAAGTAGTGCTGTGCTGGCAGCTAGTGTGAGTTCTGTAGGCCTATACTACACCGTATGGAGTCCATGTGTGCACTCTACCATCATCAGATTAATCTTCTCTTCAGCATGGCTAAGTAGTGTTGTGCTGGCAGCTAGTGTGAGTTCTGTAGGCCTATACTACACCGTATGGAGTCCATGTGTGCACTTACCATCATCAGATTGATCTTCTCTTCAGCATGGTTAAGCAGTGTTGTGCTGGCAGCTAGTGTGAGTTCTGTAGGCCTATACCACACACCATGTATGGAGTCCATGTGTGCACTCTACCATCATCAGATTAATCTTCTCTTCAGCATGGTTAAGTAGTGTTGTGCTGGCAGCTAGTGTGAGTTCTGTAGGCCCATACTACACACTGTGTATGGAGTCCATGTGCACTTGGGCCATCATCAGATTAATCTTTTCTTCAGCATGGTTAGAAGTAGTGTTGTGCTGGCAGCTAGTGTGAGTTCTGTAGGCCTATACTACACTGTGTATGGAGTCCATGTGTGCACTTACCATCATCAGATTAATCTTCTCTTCAGCATGGTTAAGTAGTGTTGTGCTGGCAGCTAGTGTGAGTTCTGTAGGCCTATACTACAATCGTATATGGAGTCCATGTGTGCACTTACCATCATCAGATTAATCTTCTCATCAGCATGGTTAAGTAGTGTTGTGCTGGCAGCTAGTGTGAGTTCTGTAGGCCTATACTACACTGTGTATGGAGTCCATGTGTGCACTTACCATCATCAGATTAATCTTCTCTTCAGCATGGTTAAGTAGTGTTGTGCTGGCAGCTAGTGTGGATTCTGTAGGCCCATACTACACCGCATGGAGTCCATGTGCACTTACCATCTTCAGATTAATCTTCTCTTCAGCATGGCTAAGTAGTGTTGTGCTGGCAGCCAGTGTGAGTTCTGTAGGCCCATACTAACACGCGTATGGAGTCCATGTGTGCACTTACCATCATCAGATTAATCTTCTCTTCAGCATGGTTAAGTAGTGTTGTGCTGGCAGCTAGTGTGAGTTCTGTAGGCCTTTACTACACCGTGTATGGAGTCCATGTGTGCACTTCTACCATCATCAGATTAATCTTCTCTTCAGCATGGTTAAGTAGTGTTGTGCTGGCAGCTAGTGTGAGTTCTGTAGGCCTATACTACACTGTGTATGGAGTCCATGTGTGCACTTACCATCATCAGATTAATCTTCTCTTCAGCATGGTTATGTAGTGTTGTGCTGGCAGCTAGTGTGAGTTCTGTAGGCCCATACTACACCGTGTATGGAGTCCATGTGTGCACTTACCATCATCAGATTAATCTTCTTCAGCATGGTTAAGTAGTGTTGTGCTGGCAGCTAGTGTGGATTCTGTAGGCCTATACTACACCGTGTATGGAGTCCATGTGTGCACTTACCATCTTCAGATTAATCTTCTCTTCAGCATGGCTAAGTAGTGTTGTGCTGGCAGCTAGTGTGAGTTCTGTAGGCCTATACTACACCGTGTATGGAGTCCATGTGTGCACTTACCATCATCAGATTAATCTTCTCTTCAGCATGGTTAAGTAGTGTTGTGCTGGCAGCTAGTGTGAGTTCTGTAGGCCTATACTACACCGTGTGCTGAGTCCATGTGTGCACTTACCATCATCAGATTAATCTTCTCTTCAGCATGGCTAAGTAGTGTTGTGCTGGCAGCTAGTGTGAGTTCTGTAGGCCTATACTACACCGTGTATGGAGTCCATGTGTTGCACTTTCTACCATCATCAGATTAATCTTCTCTCAGCATGGCTAAGTAGTGTTGTGCTGGCAGCTAGTGTGAGTTCTGTAGGCCTATACTACACCGTGTATGGAGTCCATGTGTGCACTTACCATCATCAGATTAATCTTCTCTTCAGCATGGTTAAGTAGTGTTGTGCTGGCAGCTAGTGTGAGTTCTGTAGGCCTATACTACACAGTGTATGGAGTCCATGTGTGCACTTACCATCATCAGATTAATCTTCTCTTCAGCATGGTTAAGTAGTGTTGTGCTGGCAGCTAGTGTGAGTTCTGTAGGCCTATACTACACTGTGTATGGAGTCCATGTGTGCACTTACCATCATCAGATTAATCTTCTCTTCAGCATGGTTAAGTAGTGTTGTGCTGGCAGCTAGTGTGGATTCTGTAGGCCATACTACACACCGTGTATGGGGTCCATGTGTGCACCCATCATCAGATTAATCTTCTTTCAGCATGGTTAAGTAGTGTTGTGCTGGCAGCTAGTGTGAGTTCTGTAGGCCTATACTACACCGTGGTATGGAGTCCATGTGCACTTACCATCTTCAGATTAATCTTCTCTTCAGCATGGTTAAGTAGTGTTGTGCTGGCAGCTAGTGTGAGTTCTGTAGGCCTATACTACACCGTGTATGGAGTCCATGTGTGCACTTACCATCATCAGATTAATCTTCTCTCAGCATGGTTAAGTAGTGTTGTGCTGGCAGCTAGTGTGAGTTCTGTAGGCCTATACTACACCGTGTATGGAGTCCATGTGTGCACTTACCATCATCAGATTAATCTTCTCTTCAGCATGGTTAAGTAGTGTTGTGCTGGCAGCTAGTGTGAGTTCTGTAGGCCTATACTACACCGTGTATGGAGTCCATGTGTGCACTTACCATCATCAGATTAATCTTCTCTTCAGCATGGCTAAGTAGTGTTGTGCTGGCAGCTAGTGTGAGTTCTGTAGGCCTATACTACTACACCGTGTATGGAGTCCATGTGTGCACTTTACCATCATCAGATTAATCTTCTCTTCAGCATGGCTAAGTAGTGTTGTGCTGGCAGCTAGTGTGAGTTCTGTAGGCCTATACTACACCGTGTATGGAGTCCATGTGCACTTACCATCATCAGATTAATCTTCTCTTCAGCATGGCTAAGTAGTGTTGTGCTGGCAGCTAGTGTGAGTTCTGTAGGCCTATACTACACAGTGTATGGAGTCCATGTGTGCACTTACCATCATCAGATTAATCTTCTCTTCAGCATGGTTAAGTAGTGTTGTGCTGGCAGCTAGTGTGAGTTCTGTAGGCCTATACTACACTGTGTATGGAGTCCATGTGTGCACTTACCATCATCAGATTAATCTTCTCTTCAGCATGGTTAAGTAGTGTTGTGCTGGCAGCTAGTGTGGATTCTGTAGGCCTATACTACACCGTGTATGGAGTCCATGTGTGCACTTACCATCATCAGATTAATCTTCTCTTCAGCATGGTTAAGTAGTGTTGTGCTGGCAGCTAGTGTGAGTTCTGTAGGCCTATACTACACCGTGTATGGAGTCCATGTGTGCACTTACCATCATCAGATTAATCTTCTCTTCAGCATGGTTAAGTAGTGTTGTGCTGGCAGCTAGTGTGAGTTCTGTAGGCCTATACTACACCGTGTATGGAGTCCATGTGTGCACTTACCATCATCAGATTAATCTTCTCTTCAGCATGGTTAAGTAGTGTTGTGCTGGCAGCTAGTGTGGATTCTGTAGGCCTATACTACACCGTGTATGGAGTCCATGTGTGCACTTACCATCATCAGATTAATCTTCTCTTCAGCATGGTTAAGTAGTGTTGTGCTGGCAGCTAGTGTGAGTTCTGTAGGCCTATACTACACCGTGTATGGAGTCCATGTGTGCACTTACCATCTTCAGATTGATCTTCTCATCAGCATGGTTAAGTAGTGTTGTGCTGGCAGCTAGTGTGAGTTCTGTAGGCCTATACTACACCGTGTATGGAGTCCATGTGTGCACTTACCATCATCAGATTAATCTTCTCTTCAGCATGGTTAAGTAGTGTTGTGCTGGCAGCTAGTGTGAGTTCTGTAGGCCTATACTACACTGTGTATGGAGTCCATGTGTGCACTTACCATCATCAGATTAATCTTCTCTTCAGCATGGTTAAGTAGTGTTGTGCTGGCAGCTAGTGTGAGTTCTGTAGGCCTATACTACACCGTGTATGGAGTCCATGTGTGCACTTACCATCATCAGATTGATCTTCTCTTCAGCATGGCTAAGTAGTGTTGTGCTGGCAGCTAGTGTGAGTTCTGTAGGCCTATACTACACCGTGTATGGAGTCCATGTGTGCACCTACCATCATACAGGTCATCATAGCCCTTCTTGAACTTAAACAGATACTCCGTCTCTTTCTTGGCCTCATTAAGCACCTCCTGAAAGATTGAATTAGGAGATAAACATCATGTGTTGGCCAATTTCGGGTGTTATTGAAGCACGGGGAATTCATTTGAACTGACGATAACAAATACAATGGTATGAGCGATGTTTGTCCGTATTAATATGCAGCCAATTTCCGGGAATCGAATACCATTTGATCACATTTTTCAACCAATCAGATTTAAGAACACAGTGACTTTTGGTTTACAATGTTTGTTATACTTAGTATCTACACACAGGCAGACATTTTCCATCCTGTATCCTCTATCAATGAAATATCAGAACTACTTGGGCGTATGTATTGTCTTGGTCCGTATCAGCTGCACGTTTGTGGTATAATATGTCATTCTGCTTCAGTAATAATGCCACTGAGATGTAAGGGAGCAGTTAATCAGAGATTGGTGGTTATGATGTGTATCCAATGACTGACCTCCAGATGGTGTATGTCTGCCTCCAGTCTCTCCTGCATGAGGTCTGCTGCCAATCGAGTGGTGTCCAACGTCTGCTCCAGACTGGGGACACATAAATACATCACAATGCATCAGGAGCTACATACAATACATCAGGAGCTACATACAATACATCAGGAGATACATACAATATGTCATAGTACATCAGGGGATACATACATCACAGTACATCAGGGGATACACACAATACATCAGTACATCAGGAGATTACACACAATACATCAGTACATCAGGGGATAACACACAATACATCACAGTACATCAGGGGATAACACACAATACATCACAGTACATCAGGGGATAACACACAATACATCAGTACATCAGGGGATAACACACAATACATCACAGCACATCAGGGGATAACACACAATACATCAGTACATCAGGGGATAACACACAATACATCACAGTACATCAGGGGATACACACAATACATCAGGGGATAACACACAATACATCACAATACATCAGGGGATAACACAATACAGCACAGTACATCAGGGGATACACACAATACATCACAGTACATCAGGGGATAACGCACAATACATCACAGTACATCAGGGGATAACACACAATACATCACAGTACATCAGGGGATAACACACAATACATCACAGTACATCAGGGAATAACACACAATACATCAGTACATCAGGGGATACACACAATACATCAGTACATCAGGGGATAACACACAATACATCACAGTACATCGGGGATAACACACAATACATCAGTACATAAGGGGATAACACACAATACATCACAGTACATCAGGGGATAACACACAATACATCAGTACATCAGGGGATAACACACAATACATCACAGTACATCAGGGGATAACACACAATACATCAGTACATCAGGGGATAACACACAATACATCACAGTACATCAGGGGATACACACAATACATCAGGGGATAACACACAATACATCACAATACATCAGGGGATAACACAATACAGCACAGTACATCAGGGGATAACACACAATACAGCACAGTACATCAGGGGATACATACAATACATCACAGTACATCAGGAGATACACACAATACATCACAATACATCAGGGGATAACACAGAATACATCACAGTACATCAGGGGATACACACAATACACACAATACATCACAGTACATCAGGGGATACACACAATACATCACAGTACATCAGGGGATACACACAGTACATCAGGGGATACACACAATACATCACAGTACATCAGGGGATACACACAATACATCACAGTACATCAGGGGATACACACAATACATCATAGTACATCAGGGGATACACACAATACATCAAAGTACATCAAGGGATACACACAATACATCACAGTACATCAAGGGATACACACAGTACATCAAGGGATACACATAATACATCAGAGTACATCAAGGGATACACACAATACATCAGAGTACATCAAGGGATACATCACAGTACATCAGGAGATACACACAATACATTACAATACATCAGGGGATAACACAGAATACATCACAGTACATCAGGGTATGATGTATGATGCCACACATGATGCCATACACCAATTTGGTATCCAAGTCTGATCATGCAACTCCTTGTTTTGATGTTATAGTGTAAGGAAGCAAAATACTCAAAATCTGAATTTTATTTCATATTAGGATATTTGAGTGCAGCAATCTGTTATTAAGAAAAAATCATACACATTAATTTTAAATATACAGAATACAAAATATTTCTATACCTCATCTGGCAATTGCAAGGACATGTATTTTTTCTGAAAACATTTTTATTTATTATTTATATAGTGCACATATCTACGCACTAGTGCATGCTCAAGGTGCTGGTATTTGTTCCCTCGATCATTGGATCAATCTCAAAGGCACATCTTATTATCAATCTCAACTCCCTGGAGAGCATACAACTCTTGCTGCCACAAGGCACACCGAGTTATTGCGGCTTCATCCTTACGAGGTACCCATTCACAGCTGGGTGGACTGGGACACATAGTCACAGTACTTTGTCCAAGTTTACTGCACGTTGCTGTACACGCAACTAGGTGTTTGCACGTATTCATGTGGCCACCATCTGGTCATATACCAACGGGGTTCGTGGGTTCTTTTAAGTGAACAGGTTTGTGTACTGTACACTTGGGGTTGTGACAACACTGAAAGAATCTGCATACAAAGTTGACTCCTAGGTTTTTACACCCGGTCACAGGTGGGCTTGATCCCAGCACCTCATGCTCGCTGGATCACTAGCCAAGAGCCTTAGCCAGCTCGCCCACCACACCCCCAACATGTATTTAAAGATAACAAGGGCTGAGCAATGTTTAAGTTCCTGTAAAAATGATTCTATAAAGTAGCCTTACCTGACAATTTCAATATTTTTCTCTGCAACAGTGTTCTCAAGGTCTGATATCTTGGCTGTGAGGTCGTCCACCCCGGTCTGCAGCTCTGTGACCATCGACAGGCTCTCCTCCAGCTGCTGGTGTTTGCTGAACAGTCTGAAGAACACAACTAGAGGTAGCACCTTATCCTGGGAACCCACTGGTCAAGTGATGATCATGCTACTACTCCTATAGACTGAAGAACACAACTAGAGGTAGCACCTTATCCTGGGAACCCACTGGTCAAGTGATGGTCATGCTACAACTCCTATAGACTGAAGAACACAACTAGAGGTAGCACCTTGTCCTGGGAACCCACTGGTCAAGTGATGGTCATGCTACAACTCCTATAGACTGAAGAACACAACTAGAGGTAGCACCTTATCCTGGGAACCCACTGGTCAAGTGATGGTCATGCTACAACTCCTATAGACTGAAGAACACAACTAGAGGTAGCACCTTGTCCTGGGAACCCACTGGTCAAGTGATGGTCATGCTACAACTCCTATAGACTGAAGAACACAACTAGAGGTAGCACCTTGTCCTGGGAACCCACTGGTCAAGTGATGGTCATGCTACTACTCCTATAGACTGAAGAACACAACTAGAGGTAGCACCTTATCCTGGGAACCCACTGGTCAAGTGATGGTCATGCTACTACTCCTATAGACTGAAGAACACAACTAGAGGTAGCACCTTATCCTGGGAACCCACTGGTCAAGTGATGGTCATGCTACAACTCCTATAGACTGAAGAACACAACTAGAGGTAGCACCTTGTCCTGGGAACCAACTGGTCAAGTGATGGTCATGCTACAACTCCTATAGACTGAAGAACACAACTAGAGGTAGCACCTTATCCTGGGAACCCACTGGTCAAGTGATGGTCATGCTACAACTCCTATAGACTGAAGAACACAACTAGAGGTAGCACCTTATCCTGGGAACCCACTGGTCAAGTGATGATCATGCTACTACTCCTATAGACTGAAGAACACAACTAGAGGTAGCACCTTATCCTGGGAACCCACTGGTCAAGTGATGGTCATGCTACAACTCCTATAGACTGAAGAACACAACTAGAGGTAGCACCTTGTCCTGGGAACCCACTGGTCAAGGATGGTCATGCTACAACTCCTATAGACTGAAGAACACAACTAGAGGTAGCACCTTATCCTGGGAACCCACTGGTCAAGTGATGGTCATGCTACAACTCCTATAGACTGAAGAACACAACTAGAGGTAGCACCTTGTCCTGGGAACCCACTGGTCAAGTGATGGTCATGCTACAACTCCTATAGACTGAAGAACACAACTAGAGGTAGCACCTTATCCTGGGAACCCACTGGTCAAGTGATGGTCATGCTACAACTCCTATAGACTGAAGAACACAACTAGAGGTAGCACCTTGTCCTGGGAACCCACTGGTCAAGTGATGGTCATGCTACAACTCCTATAGACTGAAGAACACAACTAGAGGTAGCACCTTGTCCTGGGAACCCACTGGTCAAGTGATGGTCATGCTACAACTCCTATAGACTGAAGAACACAACTAGAGGTAGCACCTTATCCTGGGAACCAACTGGTCAAGTGATGGTCATGCTACAACTCCTATAGACTGAAGAACACAACTAGAGGTAGCACCTTGTCCTGGGAACCCACTGGTCAAGTGATGGTCATGCTACAACTCCTATAGACTGAAGAACACAACTAGAGGTAGCACCTTGTCCTGGGAACCCACTGGTCAAGTGATGGTCATGCTACAACTCCTATAGACTGAAGAACACAACTAGAGGTAGCACCTTGTCCTGGGAACCCACTGGTCAAGTGATGGTCATGCTACAACTCCTATAGACTGAAGAACACAACTAGAGGTAGCACCTTGTCCTGGGAACCCACTGGTCAAGTGATGGTCATGCTACAACTCCTATAGACTGAAGAACACAACTAGAGGTAGCACCTTGTCCTGGGAACCCACTGGTCAAGTGATGGTCATGCTACAACTCCTATAGACTGAAGAACACAACTAGAGGTAGCACCTTGTCCTGGGAACCCACTGGTCAAGTGATGGTCATGCTACAACTCCTATAGACTGAAGAACACAACTAGAGGTAGCACCTTGTCCTGGGTCAAGTGATGGTCATGCTACAACTCCTATAGACTGAAGAACACAACTGAGGGTAGCACCTTGTCCTGGGACCTGGTCAAGAGAGGTGATGGGAACCCACTGGTCAAGTGACATGCTACAACCTATAGACTGAAGAACACAACTAGAGGTAGCACCTTATCCTGGGAACCCACTGGTCAAGTGATGGTCATGCTACAACTCCTATAGACTGAAGAACACAACTAGAGGTAGCACCTTGTCCTGGGAACCCACTGGTCAAGTGATGGTCATGCTACAACTCCTATAGACTGAAGAACACAACTAGAGGTAGCACCTTATCCTGGGAACCCACTGGTCAAGTGATGGTCATGCTACAACTCCTATAGACTGAAGAACACAACTAGAGGTAGCACCTTGTCCTGGGAACCCACTGGTCAAGTGATGGTCATGCTGCTAGCAACTCCTATAGACTGAAGAACACAACTAGAGGTAGCACCTTATCCTGGGAACCCACTGGTCAAGTGATGGTCATGCTACAACTCCTATAGACTGAAGAACACAACTAGAGGTAGCACCTTGTCCTGGGAACCCACTGGTCAAGTGATGGTCATGCTACAACTCCTATAGACTGAAGAACACAACTAGAGGTAGCACCTTATCCTGGGAACCCACTGGTCAAGTGATGGTCATGCTACAACTCCTATAGACTGAAGAACACAACTAGAGGTAGCACCTTATCCTGGGAACCCACTGGTCAAGTGATGGTCATGCTACAACTCCTATAGACTGAAGAACACAACTAGAGGTAGCACCTTGTCCTGGGAACCCACTGGTCAAGTGATGGTCATGCTACAACTCCTATAGACTGAAGAACACAACTAGAGGTAGCACCTTATCCTGGGAACCAACTGGTCAAGTGATGGTCATGCTACAACTCCTATAGACTGAAGAACACAACTAGAGGTAGCACCTTATCCTGGGAACCCACTGGTCAAGTGATGGTCATGCTACAACTCCTATAGACTGAAGAACACAACTAGAGGTAGCACCTTGTCCTGGGAACCCACTGGTCAAGTGATGGTCATGCTACAACTCCTATAGACTGAAGAACACAACTAGAGGTAGCACCTTATCCTGGGAACCCACTGGTCAAGTGATGGTCATGCTACAACTCCTATAGACTGAAGAACACAACTAGAGGTAGCACCTTATCCTGGGAACCCACTGGTCAAGTGATGGTCATGCTACAACTCCTATAGACTGAAGAACACAACTAGAGGTAGCACCTTATCCTGGGAACCCACTGGTCAAGTGATGGTCATGCTATACAACTCCTATAGACTGAAGAACACAACTAGAGGTAGCACCTTGTCCTGGGAACCCACTGGTCAAGTGATGGTCATGCTACAACTCCTATAGACTGAAGAACACAACTAGAGGTAGCACCTTATCCTGGGAACCCACTGGTCAAGTGATGGTCATGCTACAACTCCTATAGACTGAAGAACACAACTAGAGGTAGCACCTTGTCCTGGGAACCCACTGGTCAAGTGATGGTCATGCTACAACTCCTATAGACTGAAGAACACAACTAGAGGTAGCACCTTATCCTGGGAACCCACTGGTCAAGTGATGGTCATGCTACAACTCCTATAGACTGAAGAACACAACTAGAGGTAGCACCTTGTCCTGGGAACCCACTGGTCAAGTGATGGTCATGCTACAACTCCTATAGACTGAAGAACACAACTAGAGGTAGCACCTTATCCTGGGAACCCACTGGTCAAGTGATGGTCATGCTACAACTCCTATAGACTGAAGAACACAACTAGAGGTAGCACCTTGTCCTGGGAACCCACTGGTCAAGTGATGGTCATGCTACAACTCCTATAGACTGAAGAACACAACTAGAGGTAGCACCTTGTCCTGGGAACCCACTGGTCAAGTGATGGTCATGCTACAACTCCTATAGACTGAAGAACACAACTAGAGGTAGCACCTTGTCCTGGGAACCCACTGGTCAAGTGATGGTCATGCTACAACTCCTATAGACTGAAGAACACAACTAGAGGTAGCACCTTATCCTGGGAACCCACTGGTCAAGTGATGGTCATGCTACAACTCCTATAGACTGAAGAACACAACTAGAGGTAGCACCTTGTCCTGGGAACCCACTGGTCAAGTGATGGTCATGCTACAACTCCTATAGACTGAAGAACACAACTAGAGGTAGCACCTTATCCTGGGAACCCACTGGTCAAGTGATGGTCATGCTACAACTCCTATAGACTGAAGAACACAACTAGAGGTAGCACCTTGTCCTGGGAACCCACTGGTCAAGTGATGGTCATGCTACAACTCCTATAGACTGAAGAACACAACTAGAGGTAGCACCTTGTCCTGGGAACCCACTGGTCAAGTGATGGTCATGCTACAACTCCTATAGACTGAAGAACACAACTAGAGGTAGCACCTTATCCTGGGAACCCACTGGTCAAGTGATGGTCATGCTACAACTCCTATAGACTGAAGAACACAACTAGAGGTAGCACCTTGTCCTGGGAACCCACTGGTCAAGTGATGGTCATGCTACAACTCCTATAGACTGAAGAACACAACTAGAGGTAGCACCTTATCCTGGGAACCCACTGGTCAAGTGATGGTCATGCTACAACTCCTATAGACTAAAGAACACAACTAGAGGTAGCACCTTGTCCTGGGAACCCACTGGTCAAGTGATGGTCATGCTATACAACTCCTATAGACTGAAGAACACAACCAGAGGTAGCACCTTATCCTGGGAACCCACTGGTCAAGTGATGGTCATGCTACAACTCCTATAAACTGAAGAACACAACTAGAGGTAGCTACTTGTCCTAGGAACCCACTGGTCAAGTGATGGTCATGCTACAACTCCTATAAACTGAAGAACACAACTAGAGGGAGCACCTTATCCTGGGAACCCACTGGTCAAGTGATGGTCATGCTACAACTCCTATAGACTGAAGAACACAACTAGAGGTAGCACCTTGTCCTGGGAACCCACTGGTCAAGTGATGATCATGCTACTACTCCTATAGTCTGAAGAACACAACTAGAGGTAGCACCTTGTCCTGGGAACCCACTGGTCAAGTGATGGTCATGCTACAACTCCTATAAACTGAAGAACACAACTAGAGGTAGCACCTTAACCTGGGAACCCACTGGTCAAGTGATGGTCATGCTACAACTCCTATAGACTGAAGAACACAACTAGAGGTAGCACCTTATCCTGGGACCCACTGGTCAAGTGATGGTCATGCTACAACTCCTATAGACTGAAGAACACAACTAGAGGTAGCACCTTGTCCTAGGAACCCACTGGTCAAGTGATGGTCATGCTACAACTCCTATAGACTGAAGAACACAACTAGAGGTAGCACCTTATCCTGGGAACCCACTGGTCAAGTGATGGTCATGCTACAACTCCTATAAACTGAAGAACACAACTAGAGGTAGCACCTTGTCCTGGGAACCTACTGGTCAAGTGATGGTCATGCTACAACTCCTATAGACTGAAGAACACAACTAGAGGTAGCACCTTGTCCTGGGAACCTACTGGTCAAGTGATGGTCATGCTACAACTCCTATAGACTGAAGAACACAACTAGAGGTAGCACCTTATCCTGGGAACCCACTGGTCAAGTGATGGTCATGCTACTACTCCTATAGACTGAAGAACACAACTAGAGGTAGCACCTTATCCTAGGAACCCACTGGTCAAGTGATGGTCATGTTACAATTCCTATAGACTGAAGAACACAACTAGAGGTAGCACCTTAACCTGGGAACCCACTGGTCAAGTGATGATCATGCTACTACTCCTATAGTCTGAAGAACACAACTAGAGGTAGCACCTTATCCTGGGAACCCACTGGTCAAGTGATGGTCATGCTATACAACTCCTATAGACTGAAGAACACAACCAGAGGTAGCACCTTGTCCTGGGAACCCACTGGTCAAGTGATGGTCATGCTACAATTCCTATAGACTGAAGAACACAACTAGAGGTAGCACCTTATCCTAGGAACCCACTGGTCAAGTGATGGTCATGCTACAATTCCTATAGACTGAAGAACACAACTAGAGGTAGCACCTTGTCCTGGGAACCCACTGGTCAAGTGATGGTCATGCTACAACTCCTATAGACTGAAGAACACAACTAGAGGTAGCACCTTATCCTGGGAACCCACTGGTCAAGTGATGGTCATGCTACAACTCCTATAGACTGAAGAACACAACTAGAGGTAGCACCTTATCCTGGGAACCCACTGGTCAAGTGATGGTCATGCTACAACTCCTATAGACTAAAGAACACAACTAGAGGTAGCACCTTATCCTGGGAACCTACTGGTCAAGTGATGATCATGCTACTACTCCTATAGACTGAAGAACACAACTAGAGGTAGCACCTTATCCTGGGAACCCACTGGTCAAGTGATGGTCATGTTACAACTCCTATAGACTGAAGAACACAACTAGAGGTAGCACCTTATCCTGGGAACCCACTGGTCAAGTGATGGTCATGTTACAACTCCTATAGACTGAAGAACACAACTAGAGGTAGCACCTTGTCCTGGGAACCCACTGGTCAAGTGATGGTCATGCTACAACTCCTATAGACTGAAGAACACAACTAGAGGTAGCACCTTATCCTGGGAACCCACTGGTCAAGTGATGGTCATGCTACAACTCCTATAGACTGAAGAACACAACTAGAGGTAGCACCTTGTCCTGGGAACCCACTGGTCAAGTGATGGTCATGCTACAACTCCTATAGACTGAAGAACACAACTAGAGGTAGCACCTTATCCTGGGACCCACTGGTCAAGTGATGGTCATGTTACAACTCCTATAGACTGAAGAACACAACTAGAGGTAGCACCTTATCCTGGGAACCCACTGGTCAAGTGATGGTCATGCTACAACTCCTATAGACTGAAGAACACAACTAGAGGTAGCACCTTAACCTGGGAACCCACTGGTCAAGTGATGGTCATGCTACAACTCCTATAGACTGAAGAACACAACTAGAGGTAGCACCTTAACCTGGGAACCCACTGGTCAAGTGATGGTCATGCTACAACTCCTATAGACTAAAGAACACAACTAGAGGTAGCACCTTATCCTGGGAACCCACTGGTCAAGTGATGGTCATGCTACAACTCCTATAGACTGAAGAACACAACTAGAGGTAGCACCTTGTCCTGGGCACCCACTGGTCAAGTGATGGTCATGCTTTACAACTCCTATAAACTGAAGAACACAACTAGAGGTAGCTACTTGTCCTAGGAACCCACTGGTCAAGTGATGGTCATGCTACAACTCCTATAGACTGAAGAACACAACTAGAGGTAGCACCTTATCCTGGGAACCCACTGGTCAAGTGATGGTCATGCTATAACTCCTATAGACTGAAGAACACAACTAGAGGTAGCACCTTATCCTGGGAACCCACTGGTCAAGTGATGGTCATGCTATACAACTCCTATAGACTGAAGAACACAACTAGAGGTAGCACCTTATCCTGGGAACCCACTGGTCAAGTGATGGTCATGCTACAACTCCTATAGACTGAAGAACACAACTAGAGGTAGCACCTTATCCTGGGAACCCACTGGTCAAGTGATGGTCATGCTACAACTCCTATAGACTGAAGAACACAACTAGAGGTAGCACCTTATCCTGGGAACCCACTGGTCAAGTGATGGTCATGCTACAACTCCTATAGACTGAAGAACACAACTAGAGGTAGCACCTTATCCTGGGAACCCACTGGTCAAGTGATGGTCATGCTATACAACTCCTATAGACTGAAGAACACAACTAGAGGTAGCACCTTATCCTGGGAACCCACTGGTCAAGTGATGGTCATGCTACAACTCCTATAGACTGAAGAACACAACTAGAGGTAGCACCTTGTCCTGGGAACCCACTGGTCAAGTGATGGTCATGCTACAACTCCTATAGACTGAAGAACACAACTAGAGGTAGCACCTTATCCTGGGAACCCACTGGTCAAGTGATGGTCATGCTACAACTCCTATAGACTGAAGAACACAACTAGAGGTAGCACCTTGTCCTGGGAACCCACTGGTCAAGTGATGGTCATGCTACAACTCCTATAGACTGAAGAACACAACTAGAGGTAGCACCTTATCCTGGGAACCCACTGGTCAAGTGATGGTCATGCTATACAACTCCTATAGACTGAAGAACACAACTAGAGGTAGCTACTTGTCCTAGGAACCTACTGGTCAAGTGATGGTCATGCTACAACTCCTATAGACTGAAGAACACAACTAGAGGTAGCACCTTATCCTGGGAACCCACTGGTCAAGTGATGGTCATGCTACAACTCCTATAGACTGAAGAACACAACTAGAGGTAGCTACTTGTCCTAGGAACCAACTGGTCAAGTGATGGTCATGCTACAACTCCTATAGACTGAAGAACACAACTAGAGGTAGCACCTTGTCCTGGGAACCCACTGGTCAAGTGATGGTCATGCTACAACTCCTATAGACTGAAGAACACAACTAGAGGTAGCACCTTATCCTGGGAACCCACTGGTCAAGTGATGGTCATGCTACTACTCCTATAGACTGAAGAACACAACTATAGGTAGCACCGTATCCTGGGAACCCACTGGTCAAGTGATGGTCATGCTACAACTCCTATAGACTGAAGAACACAACTAGAGGTAGCACCTTATCCTAGGAACCCACTGGTCAAGTGATGGTCATGCTACAACTCCTATAGACTGAAGAACACAACTAGAGGTAGCACCTTATCCTGGGACCCACTGGTCAAGTGATGGTCATGCTACAACTCCTATAGACTGAAGAACACAACTAGAGGTAGCACCTTATCCTGGGACCCACTGGTCAAGTGATGGTCATGCTACAACTCCTATAGACTTATAGGACAGTTTTGGCTTTATTGTCATCAGTTTCTTCCTGTGCTTAAGTATGGGAGTTATGACAGTTGCAAAACTAAAATCACTGTACAAATCTGGCTAGATACAGGTGAATACTGAACTCAAATGAACATTATGCTAAGTGAGCTTTGTTTCATGTTGTCTTGAAAGTCCAGTCAAACACCATTGTATCAAACTTATAGTAGTCTCTAAGCAAAAGTTTGGTCCATGCTTATGCCCTATTTATTGTGTCAAGTCAGATAACTTGAAGTATTTTTGAAGGTCCTTTTAACTTTGACATAACTGTGTTTAACTGTACTTCATTTGTGTCTGTTTGGAATGATAACATTACATTTTCAATCATTTCCAACATATTACAGAAACCAGAACATTGTCCTTCTCTGCCTTACAATAATCAAACAAATCTTGCAGCACATGGGCACAACAAATTACAATATATGTTGCCATGGTTGACATTGAGGTTACTTTCCTAAAAATGCTGTAAAAACTTAAAACAAACAGAGAAACATTTTTTAGTTTGAAAATGTTATATTACATTTAACAGCAGACTCATCTGTAAATAAGGACATTTGCCTGAACTGAACAATACAGATACTGCGTTTGTACCTTTCCTTTACAACATCTAGCTGTTCCTTGAGCTCCTCGCCCTGTGCATGTCTCTCCTTATACACCCTATGTACCAGGAGGAAGTAGGGGATACGCTGGATGTACCGTGCATCTTCATCGTTATCATCCTTCTCAGAACTACCTGTCAACTCCTCACTGTACACTGCCTCTGTAAAATACATCACACACCCTCACTCACTCAACACACAGTAGGGTAGCCAAGTGGTAACAGTGTTTGCTCATTATGCCGAAGAACTGGTTTGATTCCCACGTGTACAATGTGTTACAACCATTTCTGGTGTCCTCTGCAGCGATATTTCTGGAATATTTCCAAAAGCTATCAGGACCCACAATTCCTCACTCACTTCCTAATTCAGCATGCCTGCATGTTTACAAAATAAGAGGAGCAGTGTCCAATAAAATTAAAGATCTGTATTTAAATAATGACATTACTGTATTTTTACTATCAAACGTGCAAGAATTTGTACTGTTTGACAGTTGAAAGTACCTGAAGGTGCTTAAGGACTTTTGATTCCAGTGATACAGTTGCTCAAGCTCAGAGAAAGTCTTCTAAATACTACCATTAATTCATTTTCTGTTTAAATTTCTCAAGGAGGAACAAAAACAATAAGAGAATAAAATTTTGATAAAATTAGTGCATTAGGAATGAAATAGATTTTGGGTTAGCATTTTTGCAGAGCTGTTCACAAACATTCAGTCTACTGTCGCAAGTGTTTGTTTTTACCAAAGAAATCATCTCGTAGTTTGCGGAAGATCCTTGTGAAGACACCAAGTTGTGGCACGAGTTCATCAAGAGCTTGGAAGGCCAGGATCATCCGCTCCTCCGTCAGTGACGGATGCTCCAAACCCAGGAGGTCATACTTGTTCACTGAAATAACTCAAAGGTATTTTTCAGTTTTCCAACTGTTAAGGGGTGTTTTGATTATTCTTTTTAGAAAAAGACCTGGACCGTACCCAGAGATGGCTGCTTCTTTGGCAAATAAAAATTTTCAAACTGGTTGTGATAATAAGTCAGCAATATCTTGAGATGTAGCTGCATGTATCTATGAACACTCTCTCCATATGTATGTGTCTGGGCATGGAGTCATCCCATAGATGACATCCTCATCTTGTCAGCTTGCTTGTGGGATTAACCTCTTTGGTTATGTGGCCTGCAACTGTGGATCTGAAGGTCCTTACATCAAATCCCATATAATGGGACTTAGATATTTTATGGGTTCTACATTGGTGACAGATACGAGGCTATGTCTCGGTACCTATAGTAACTATACACCCTCGGATGTGACTTCTGTGGACAAGGGAGTATGTACATTGTACATGACATGCAGGGGATCACTTACTTTGTACATAAATTTTTTTGGGGGCATTCACATTGGGGACTTCCGCCCGTATCATTCACATTGTACATGCTTCTCCATAAAAATCATCATCACCTCCTAGCCATAAATTTTAGATACACAGTGCATAGAAACAAATCATCCTTCCTGAATGGGTTACATATTTGCAAAACTTTCTACATGTTCATAGATTACATTGAGTTACCCCCCTTGATGCGACAAGCGATAAATTGTAGACAATCAGTAACTGTGTGTATGCATAAAAAATACATCCCCATAAATGAAAGAATGGAACTTCCACTCACAACTTCACGTAATAATCTAATTTGTTTGAAGAATAACCGTCCTAATTTACTAATACTGACACTTGACAACCGGTAAACACCCGGGATCCCACAAGCCCGCCCGTCACTCTCTGCTACGTGTGTTTATCTCGACTGTTATAGCAGACATACCTGGAGAATGGCCATCGATCTTTTTTGTTTCTCCCGACATGATGCTTCTATGCTGAAACAGAGAGATTCCTATACATGTGTATGCAAAACTAGGTTCAAATGCTGTCGTTAGGGCTAGCAGGTGCCCGTCGCCATGTTTGTTTACAAATGAGTAAATTAGAGTAACTTCCCTTCAATCATTCGACCGGTATAAATATTTTATTCCTCTTCACTGAATAAGTGTCTGCACTTTTCCAGTTCTGTACTTAAGATTAGACAGAACGAATGACGAATACATTTTCTCAAAAGCAAAACTGCGAAGATTCTGTCAAGAAATCTGTATGTCCTATTTAACTTACTATATTTTAAGGACAGAACGGTTTCAGACTGTTTACAGACAAATTTGAACTGAACCAACATTTCCTTCAATTTTTTAAAGTGAGTTAGTGAGTGAGTTTACTTTAACGCCGCACTCAGCAATATTCCACTTAAATGGCTTCGGTCTGTAAATAATCGAGTCTGGACCAGACAATCCAGTGATCAACAACATGAGCATCGATCTACGCAATTTGGATACGATGACATGTGTCAACCAAGTCAGCGAGGCTGACCACCCGAACCCGTTAGTCGCCTCTTACGACAAGCATGGGCTACTGAAAGATCAAATCAGACCCGGACCTTCACGGGTCTGAATCATTTACAGACACATACGACAATCTAACTAGATACGCAGACATGTTCAACATCCTACTTTGCAAAACGAAGTAAGCATCTGAGTAAAAGGTTTGATTTAACACAAGGTCTCTTTGACATTCAAAGTATGCGCCAGTTTTGTGTCTCTTGTGAACACACGTTTTAAAACACTAGATTGCAGTTTGTAACATAAAAAGTCTTGCATAAATATGCTATGTATTTCTGAAGCTGGAATGCAGTGACATGAAAGATAATGTTTCTGCTTTGTGTGAATAAATATGCCATTTACTTTCTGCATTGGATTTGAACATCTAAAGAAAATCACCAAACAGATAAATAATGTGATAAGAGGCGTGTATGTATGGTAATGCATGTCGTGTAAGTCTGAACCCGGTGACACTAGCCACCGGAGAATTTAGAAAAAAAGTTCGGAAATATAATGTCTTTTCAAGTTTCTATTCTCCTGGTAGGCGTAAGCGAGTCAGATTGTGAATATTGTTTAATGTCGCAGCAATGTGCGGGAGATGGTATGGAATAATTAAAGAAATAACCGTGTATTTTGATCCGACTTACTGTGACCACCCGGTGTCCAAATGTGTACGAGCAGTCGTCACGTGTAATATCGTAAGTACGGAACGGCGCAATCAAGACATTCAGAAAGCGAACTTCAAAGTGTATGGTATAGTTGATCGAATCAATCTAAATGCTTATCAGTATTTTTAGTGCATTGATATTATTTATCGGAAAAGGAAACTTAGTTTTTAGCTTTCTTAGATGACATTGTTTGATTGGGTGTTTACTATTGAGCTCCGATGAATTAATTCTAAGACGTCATGTCGAAGACCCGGTTCTATTCCCCACATGGGTACAATGTGTGAAGCCCACTTCTGGTGTCCCCTGCCGTAATATTGCTGGAATATTTATAAAAGCGGCGTAAAACTAAACGCACTCACTCATCTTAAAGTCGTCTTCAGTTTGTGCCTGTTATGACCTGTTCGTAGATTTTTCATATGTTATGTTATGTCTGAAGATATCAAGGAAGAATCAGTGTACAAACTGTACCCATGTGGGGAATCAGCAAGACCAGCCAGTATTTGAACAACAGGGCTAACCTATAACCACTTCTTATTGGGAACAACGGAGATAAAAGTGTAGCCATTACTAAGGCCGGCATGAAACGCAAGAGGTGTTTCGATACGTGTACCAGTTCTGTCGTCTGCGTTATTGTGTCATCTGCTCTGTCACGGATACAGCTACCATGATTCGATACATCAGCAAGACATCTTCTGACTTATCCTGTAATGCGCCAATGTCCTGCGGGATGCCCATGATAGCGAGACAGTTCATCAAACTCAGGGCGGCTGCTGAACTGAGAACTCATCCCCTCTGTGGCTGTTGGAGCTTTTAAGAAAATCAGAGGTCTGAAAATACGTGATATCGTTTCTCTGTCCCTGTAACTGATTTGGGTCTATCCATCTCCATTATTGCGAACACTTTGCATTAAACATCACATGGGACACCGAATCCAGTGACACAACTGATTAATCTCCTACAGTTAGGTTCATATTTGAAAAACGGCGTGGTGGCACATTTTCGCCACTTGGAAGTGAGAGGACGGTCGATGCTATCTCCATATTTTATTCATGTGTCAGCCTTTGCAGTCGCAAGACAGTGTCTGTTATCTGCTCAGTCTGATGTTGAAACTTAGACCTTTCACAACCGGTTGTCGCAATAGCGTCATTGATTTACAGAAGGGTAATTAACGCACGTTTACCTTGCATGAATATTCATTGGAGGTGACAAGATGTTCGATTATTTTTCTTTACAATGTCATGAGAGTGCCCACAACATTCGGAGCTTTGTTTGACAAAGATGTTGTCTAATGTCTCAAGGTTGTCTTCTTACCGTCGCACACAGACATAAGATACATAATTCATGTAGAGACGTGTACTGTATTTCCAGAAACAGGTTCGAGAAAACAAATATGAAATGAATGTTGATAAAATTACTCAAACTTGTACCGTCCGACATAACAAGACAGCGTTGCTGTAAATATAGAAATTAATTATACAGTAATCAGCAGATATTATATTATGATAGATGAAAATGACCTTTGACGTCCCTCTCCCCCATTAACATCAAACAAACAAAAACAACAAACAACAAAAATAAATACACCAAACAAACAAAAGGAAAAATGAAAACAAATTAATTGAACAACAAACAAAACACAAATAAAACAAATATACAAATAACATATAAAAAACAAAAGACGGTGGCTTAACTTCGACAAAGGATAATTACATGTGCATAATTGTAATTTTGGAGGGTTATTGTTGCCATGAATAAACTCATATTGTACATTATCTGTATGTTCTCTATGTCGCAACATGTGATTTATGAGAATAGATTTCTTCTTCTTCTTCTTCTTCTTCTTCTTCTTCTTCTTCAAAGGACCTGGTATGATATGTGTTTCAGGGTAAAGGTACACAACCCTAGCTACCAGTCTTTGTAGGAGGCGATATGATGGGTGGTCAGGGTGATGCCCATGATGTCAGCCACCGGTTTGATAGGTCTCCATTATCTACAGACAGCTGTCATGTACTGTGAATATTGATGAGCGTTAAACAGCAAACAAGAATACAATGATAATGCGCATGTACATGCAAGAATGTTTTAATAATCTGCTTCATTGCCACCTTATTTCCAGACAAATCCTTTGTCACTTTTAGGTAAACAATATTTTGAAACAAACAACAAAAAACAAAAAACAAAAAACAACAACAACACAAGAATATCCTATCGCCTACGTGTAATCAGCAGTTTTTTAAACCAACTTCAAGACAAAACGCCCGATCGCCCACGTGTAGCACTGAGGCCAACACATGTGCCCACCATGGAAGACACTCGATACGCAGTCGCTGATATTCAATGTCGGTCAAATTAACACGCCCACAGTCTGTCCGCGAAACACATCATTTATATGTAAATTGACGAAACGCGATATGCAACAGCACTCTGTTTAATCTGTGACATGTTAACGGTATATGTGAAATAGGATCATGACATGTTCATCTGTTTGAGACAGTTTAGACAGGTTACAATTCCTATGTATCTGGATGTACTAGTGTATTGTCCAGAACTGGTCAGATGGCACAAGGTCTACATGCCGTCCTCCTTGGCTGAGCTGGATGTCAGTCCCTTTGATGACCGGTGATAATCCCAACTGTTCAAAGTTGTACATCCCCACAGGGCTGTATAACCTCTGGTCGTTAAATGTACCACCTCATCTCTTGTTAAGTAGCATATCTCAGCCTTAGCCAGTCTTTGTTACATGTTATATTTCTACGTTGATTCTACAAGGTTTCTTAAGTGTTATATCTCAGGATTTGTTGACTGACATATTTTCATTTTGATAAGTGATATATCTTAAATTTGGCGTCAGTATCTCAGCCGCTTATATTCTGAAAAAAAGTTATACCTCAGGCTTTGTTAAGCTTTATAACTCCACATTTGTTGGGTGTTATGCATGTTAATAGTACCTTTGCTTTGTCATTTTTTATAATTCACTAATATCACATTTAGCACACAACACCCCCTCCCTTCTGTCAATCCCCTGTTGTTGCTAAGTTATTAGATGCTGAATTGTCCTTTTTATCTCCCCAAGTCAATACATCAAATGCCAGAGTTAAAATCTTTCAACTATATAAAGTTCAGGAGAAGTCTAACCTCCTCATAAAATACTTCTTTTTGGTCAGATATTGTTGCATCACGGACTTGCGATAAGGACGTGATATGTTTGTTTGTGTAAGTAGACCGATCTGGTCTTCGCGTGGGGTTGAAGCAGGAAGATATTTTTATAAAAGTTCCATTATTGTAAATGTTAAAAGTATCAGTGACCGACATGAGGACGTTGAGAACATTCGTTACAGCCGTGTTGGGAGGTGTCTGAATCACGACTTCATGACTGTTGGGCAATTGGAATCCCTGGTTTCCTTGACATGTCATGAGTGGACCTCTGTTTGTATGGATGGCGGTATTAGTCACAGTGAGTGAGTGAGTTACAGATACTTCATAAACAGACCGTACTTGACATGGTACTTTCTGATAATTTAATTCTTGTACATACTACCAAACTACTTCATAAAAGGACAATACACAACATGATTCGTTTTAATACATTCCTTCTTCCACATTTACATATATCGGACTCAAACATCAAACTCACTCACTCACTCACTCACTCACTCACTCACTCACTCACTCAGGTTCCAGGTCACCATCTACCTTTCAAAAAAGTCAAACCATAAAGTAATACAATATTTAACATTCGTGTGTGTGAATTCTGGTCTTTACATGACATATTAAGTACCGGGCGAAAGCAAACACATGTTTGTTCAAATCTTTGAAGGGCATTTAGAAGTGGAATACATAAGAAAAGCAAGAGTTATGGATG